GAAAATGTTTTGAGCAATTAATGGTAGTTTTTATATGGAAGGCAAGCCCACTTGTCACTTGTTGTGGCTGGCTCCTGGGCCTTGCCTGTCATCCTACCTAAACGGTAAAGTAAAAAAAAAATTATTCATTTTGTGTTCAAAATAAACTATTTTTCCCTTTCCTTACAGAAGAATTAACTGCTACGGGAAGGAATTTTTAAATCTACCAATGATATTAGTCTAAATCTTTAATATTTTTTTTATCAAGAACCCATCTGATGTATTTTCCTCTTCAGCCGACTTTGTGATTTATTCTGTGAAATTGTTTGTTATTAAGTCATTATTAATCAATAACTGTTGGACTGGAACTGGGTCTGTCTAAACTTGTGGTTTCAATATCACTCATTACACATTCATGAGTGACATTGACATTAAACTTGTGCGAGTGTAGATGGACCCAGTGCCAGTTCATGTGCTCACCTACTCGCGGGTCAACATCCACCATCCACTTTAATTAATAACTGCTAAACAAGCCTTCAAGATCAACCAAATCCTTGTGGTTTAAAGTTTGAGATCCTGCTCAACATTGTCTCGAAAAAAAAAAAATAATAATAATAATACAATATGCCAATATTTTTTGGATATTATAGAAGCGATTAAGAATTTGCAGCCAAAACATATCTCAGATTGATCATACATTTGAAAAAGAGATTTTATAAACTCTTATGGCCACTATAGAATTAAATAGAAGGACTTTTTGCACTTTTATAAAAAGGAAGGAAAAAATTAAAAATTTTAGAAATTAATTCAGGGTTTAAATCTACAATTGAACTATTATGAACATGAGCTTTATTAATTGACACGATTCTGTCAAAATTGTGTTTTTTATAAAAAGGAGATTATGAAAGAAAATTTAACCTTTTCAAGTATGAAGTATACAAATAAATGTTAAACGTACATCAATTTTTCAAATATTTTAATTTTTTTTTCAAATGTTCCAATTCATATTTTAATGATTTAAACAATTTCCTATCTTTTGTAATACAACTAATTATCTCGGATGCGACCCCTTCAGCGATCTCATGGAATTAGCCAGATCGTTTGCATCTCAACACCCTTACTAAGCTGCTTTCTTAGAGCTTAGATCGAAATTTACAAGTTTTTTTCTTGTCTTTATGGACGGGTCTAGAACCGGTGAGGGTGTGGACAGGCTGGGTTCATCCATTTCATGGTCATTCCCATAGCACTGCAACTCGTGTACAGCAGAATTGTTTGCGATCTGCCATGTGATCATGGTTTTCAGATGACTCTGCAGCGGAGTCTGTACTGACTTCTGCACTGGCTTCCTGACAGATTCCTGATGGACCGTCTTGTTGTGTTACTCTTGGAGAAATATGCTAAGTTATGTCGTCTCAGAAAATTGGTAGTGGTCTGGTGATCGGATACTTCATGCTGGAGGGCAACAATTATGTAGACGAGGCGATGAAAGCTGGGATGTCTTGCCCTCCAGATGAAACTACCATGATCCTGTCCAGTAATGCTATGTGATCAGTAACGAATGGAGTAAGAGAGCAAATCAAGAGCAAGACTGAATGCTGGCCCTCAAAGAGTCTGTAGGCCATACTCGTCTGACAAGGACACCTGCTTTAGGGTCAAAGCTCTTGCAGATGTCCTGCATGTAGAGAAAGGTTGCTCAGTGTGTCACATCTAATCGAAGAGTACCATGCCCTGGCCCCTTAGAGGTAGCGAGTAGATATGACACATGGCATAAAGATAGTATTGTTTAAAGTGTTAGATGTAGACCACTTTTTTAGTCACAAATAATCTGGATCTCTGTACAGTCTGGATGAAGAAACAACAAAAGACAAATTCAATTCAATTGTTATTGCTAAGCTTTCGCCATATTTTAAGGTATCATCAGGGCAAAAAAAATTTTAAGATGTCTACACATTTGACATAATTAAGTTTTTAATAGAGGGTTTCAAATTTTTTTGCTATTAAAAACCACTTATCAAGTACATATTTATGTCAATTTATAGACATATTTGAGATTGTTTTGCTCTGATGGTGACCTTAAAATAGGTCAAAAGCTTGGCAGTAACAATTGAATTTGTTTTTTCATCTAGACCATAGCGAGATAAAGACAGTTCTTGGGCCGGTAGGGTCAGTTTCAAGGTCCCCTTTTCAATGTTTGTTGTCAAGGGAATGGGGGAGAAAAAAATACTAATTTATAGATTTAAATATAAGGAATTGGTTGAGATGAAAAAACAAGTGTCACAAGCTGGATTCGAACCTGCTCAATACACTGCTGTTCTAACCACTTGAGCTATTGTGGCTTCATGTCCGGGTGGATCGAAGTCATGATAGCTCAAGTGCTATCGGCTGCTTATTGAGCCGAAGGTCGTGGGTTCGAATCCCGCTCGTGACACTTGATTTTTATCTCGACCAAGGCCTTAGATAAAAAACAATATTTAGTTGAAATATTTTAACAACTTTGAAACACACAATAATATTTTTAAAATATATTTTAACAGAAATTTCCGTTTACTCTTATATTAATTGCTTAACGTTTACTAAAATTTTCATTGTTCAACAAAATTCTTATCAAAAGAAATCAACTGTAGATAATTTTCTTATAACTAGAAAGGTATGTCAACAGTTGATTTACGTTGATAGGATTTTTTTTCTTGTACTAAATTGGTATCACCAACATTCTTGCTTCCCAATCAATTATTTCCCACAAATGGTTAAATGGTTGATGATGTGGGGAATCTAAGGTTAAATAGGAACGTGCAATTTCTGAAAAACAATAAATATTTCGTGATAATTCTTTGTAAAGTACTGAGCAAGGAAATGTTGTTATTTATTTATTTTTTGGTTACCCCCTAGTGATTTAAAACCAACTGTATACCGTGACCTAACCAGATCTATTGTAGAATAGGCCTACTTTAGGAATTTGAGCACTTTTGTGGGTGCCGCTTTATCTTTAGTGTTACTATTTACAGGGGCTCAGGGTACATCACAAAGTATCATGATGTCTCTCCTTCTTGACAGAGACACCAAATTTCTATTAAGTTTGCCGAGGGTGTACCCCATGGCTATATTCTTGGGCCTTTACTCTTTTCCATGTTTCTAAATGGTCTTCCATTAGTTTTTAATTTCTCCCAATTTCATATTTATGCTGATGATACTCACCTTAATATTATCCTACAAGCATTACATCTGAAGCTATTTCTCTGCTCAACTGTGATCTTCATTCTATTAACCAATGGTGAAGAAATAACATCATTCTTTTAAATCGTAACAAATTCCAGTCCTTATTAATTTCCAATAAACCCATTAATACTGATTGCCTTGGTACTCGCTTCGGCGGTACATATACTACAATTGGAACGAACAGATGACCTATCCCCCTCATATCAATGGCTCTCGAATTAATTTTTGTCCTAAAGTTAAAAATTTCAGCGTTAGAACTTCAAACTTGCCTGACCATGTGAGCTCTATTATTAAAAATTTCTACTCAAGCCTCCATTCTCTTCGACGCCTAGCATTTTACTTCACCGAAAACTAGAGTCCTCCTTTATTAAATCCTTAATAATCCATTTATTCTCTTACTGTTGCGTTTTTTCCCCCTCAATCTGCTCTTCGCCTTCTAATTGCTTATGATTATTAATCCAACAGATCATATTTCTTCCTATATTAACGCCTTCAGCAACCTTAACATTCTAAGCACTTATAAACTTAGAGTTTTAATATACATATTTAAAATTAAATCAAATAAATATCCTCAATATCTATCAACTTTTTTCCTACATTACTTATCCAAACACACCAATCATATCCCAAGCCGTCAACACTCTTCTAAAACTTCATTCTTATCCTTCAGAATTGCAGGGTATAGACTATGGAATTTGCTTTCTCAGGACGTATGTTGGGCTTCCTCACTGGTTTGTTTCAGGTTTATGAACCGTCGGGGGTCTGGTATTTTTGAAGAAAAAAAAATCCCTTTATAACTATATCGGGTTTGAATGCTGGGCCACTGGATTTGAACCCGAGACCTATACCTTACAGTGATGAGCACTGTGTCAACACCTAAACCGTTGCAGCCACCGGTGCCCCACTGGGATTCTTTGTTCGGACTCTTTCTCGCGGAGCTGCATCTTGGATTCATTTTCTTGCATCCGAGACGCTCCGCGACAATGAATCGAATCTGGTGCATTGCATTTTAGTATTTTTTCAATCCCGCCTTAAATGGGATTCTTTACTCAAAGTTTCGCAACATTGAGTCAGTGTGGACACGATTTCCGAAGCGACAATGTTGCGGGGCAAAGAGACTGCGACATGTATCCGAGAATCTGCGACAAAGAGTCTGAACAAAGAATCCTAGTGCGTACTAGACTAAAAACGACACGAATAGTAGTTGAGTGGTAGTCTTTAATAAAATTTTCAGTTGTAATTTCATGTAATTATATGAGCCTTTATTGCACTAACTTTAATATTTTATTTTTACTGTGGATTAAAGTTTATATAATTACTAAAAAAAAGTAACGCAATTTTTGTCGTACAAGGGTTAGAATTTATTCAAAATTATTCTCCAATAAATTTCAAGGGTTGTGCCATAATTTGAACCCAGAACTAAACTGAGTCATTATTTGATAGTTGCTTATTATCTTAGTCTACCTATCCTCGCTAATTTTTGTTAATTGAGATACGTTTGGGCATTTTGCCTTATTCAATCCCATGGATTTCTGGGGGTAAGAAATCACCCAAACACGGTGGTGAAATGTCGAAATGCATCTAAACTAACAAAAACAAGCAAGGATAGGCAGACCTAGATGTTAAGTAGCTATCAAACAATAGGGTTATCACCCCACAGACCACAGGAGGAAATCTCACAATTTAACCTGAGTGGGTCTTTCTCGGAAATGCGACTTAAGCGCCCTAATGGCCTACTCGCATGCTTTTAATTTTAATTCATAATCAAACTAAATTTCCTTAATAATTTGTCTGTTTCCTTTTAGTATCGATAAAATTGCCAAGGTAACGTCTCCAGTCTTGGTGATTCACGGCAAAGAAGATGAAGTGATAGACTTTTCTCATGGATTAGCTATATATGAAAGATGCCCTCGAGCAGTTGATCCTCTTTGGGTTGAGGTAATTTATACAATTTCACTATTCTTTTAAGTTTTTCTTTATTATTTCAGTATGCATTCTGGAATGTAATTGTTGCAGTTGTTTATAATTACAGATATCTAATATAAAAATATTTGTTTATTTATTATTTTAGGTACACATTTTATTATTGATTACTTGACTATGGAATCTATTATTTCAAAACGTATTATTTGACACTTCAGTCAATTTAACCACAATCTCTTTTTATGGTTAATTGGTTAATAATTGAATTGATTTAATAATAATTATCTTGTTTAATCAGATGATAATTTTAAGGATAAGAAAAAATTTGATTGTTCATTATATATATTTTTATCTTTGAATGAATTTTTTTGTCCATATGGTATTACTCCATTGAAATTTGTCTGTATAAAGATATCAGTTTGCTATGTTTACTACAACCGATTCATTTTATTTTGTCATGAAATTAATTAATCTATCATTTTAACTTTTTTTATTTTTAATTGTCCTGTAAAGTACTAGGCAAAAGACTCAGTTGAACGATACCCTAGAAATTGTCAGACAGATGACTCTTACTTAGTTAAATGACACCCTAGAACAGAGGCTGGCAAAAGTAGAGAAAGAGTATTCAGAGTACACCATCGTGTTCTGGCAATTGACCATGAAATCGTATTTCCTTTCCACTGTATCATTGTTCAGCCATAGGTGCTTTGATTGGCAGTTCACAGAAGTAAGAATTGTATTTGGAGGGATTCAAGTCTTCAACTGTTTTATGTAACCCTTTACTATTTGACACTAGAACCACATCGTCAGCAAATTCTATGTGATTTAGCCACACCCCATCCACTCTGATACCGTTACCTGCCTAGTTTACTTTATTGAGTACATCTTGTAATATTAGCATTAAAATCTTAGGAGAACTAACATCAACAGTTTTTATATTCAATGGAATTCCATCTAATGAGAATATGGCTGACCTTTTGTTGCAAATTTCATCTTGATGTCAACGTTTTTCCCAATTAGAGTCTTGATTATAATGTTTTTCTTGAGGGACTTGAATGCCTTCTGAAAATCTATGAATATAATAGTCATTTTTTGCACCCAAAACACCCCCCAAATATAAAGATTTGTGTATTTTTCATTCTGTCTTTACTTTTATCACTTATAATAATAATAATAAGAGAAAATATATCAAAAGAATTTAAAAAATATATATTTTTTACTTTGCTTAGTCGCTCTGCATCTACCATTCTCATGCTATGGCAATTTTGACCCTTGACTTAGCGGTTTTTTTGTTTTAAATATATTATCAAGAAACAAAGTTCATATTCATTTTTTGCATCCTCAAAAACCCATGAATTTCAATTTTTGGGAAACAAACCTACCATTGATTGGTCTCTTGCGTTTTTCAAAAATCACAAAAATGGTGATAACTTTGAAATGAATACACAGATCTGCAAGAAACTTTACTGAGGTTTAGATGCTTTTCATGGCACAGACTTGGATTTTGTAAATAAACTAGATCAGGAGATGAATAATAAAAATTTTGAGGTGTTTTTGTTGATTTCATTTTTATTTTTCTCTCTTATAATGACATAAAATCTAAACATCATCGACATACTCTAAAAATAGAAACCTTATGCTTTCTAACTCTTGTAGTAATGTTGAATTTTGATAAAAATCCATAGTTGTTATGAATTTTAACATCTGTTTAAAAAAAAAAAAAATAAATAAAAAAGCCCTTGGCGAAGCCAGCAGCTAAAATTTCTTTATTGCCATGAAAATTCATATTTAAGGGTTTTAAAGGGTGCGTAAAACAAATTTATTTTTTTAAACAAAATGTTTATTTTACTAGAAGCTTGTTACGTTTTTGTAACTTTTTATATGTCTTATCTCAAGGCAGGGCAAATTAGGGGCAATTACCGTATCGGTAGTAAAGTCCAAAGTTGTGTGGGATTGCATTAAGGTCAAAATATTGGAGAAAACAACCTTATCTGGGTACCAGGGCACCACAGAGCAGAGGGGCAATGAAGAGGTCAATAAATTGGCCAAGGAAAGTTCGATAACGAAACCTAGTGTCCCTGAACCTTTTTGTGGCATACCAAACTGCCCAAAACGTGGATCCATCAGACAATAGATTAAAAATTAATCAGAAACTAACAGAACAAGCAGAAACTAACAGCAGTACTTCTAGGACGTGTTAGGATTAAAATAGCAGACTACAGTGTCATATCTTGGAGTGGCAGAATCAAGCCTGTGCTGATATTGCCAGTTAGAAGATACAGCGGAACATGTCCTCTGTTCATGCAGTCTTACGAATTCATACTCCTGGGAGAGGAAAAGGCCTGAGCTTTAAGCTTAATGAGTCTAGTCAACAATAGAAATGCAGTACTGGTCACAGTGCTCAGGTTGTAAAAATGCTGATTCCTACTCTAATCTTAATCCTTAATTTTACTTACAATAACAATCAACTGATGTATAATAAACTTGAAATACTATTAAAATAACATTTTGTCTCGGCTAGGGCCTGGTCAGAACATTCAGATATGTGTCTAATAGTTTTTGACCTAGTATCACTAAAAAAAATGTTCTAAAATCATGTTATGTTCATAGTGTAAGTTTTTTTAAATGCCAAAGCTCAAATTTTGGTAGATCAGAGTTGATATCACTTGCCACTTTAAGCATTTCTGATTGATTGAGTGACATGTTAGCAAGAACGCTTAGCATAAATAGCATTATTTCTGATAGATTATGAATTAAAATTAATTAAAACTGGTAATTTTATACAGTTTGAATTTTTAATTTTCATTTTCTTTACATAGTAAACTTAATTCTTTATATATTTAAAATAACAAATCAAGGTTAATCAGTTTGGAGAACAATATTTAAAAAGTCAAATTTTTTTTCAAACGAATAAGAAGTAAATGTTGTTACATTCAAACATTAATGTCAGGTATGTTGTTGCAGAGAGCTGGGCACAACGATGTTGAACTTTACCATGAATACCTGGATAGATTGAGACGTTTTATCTCCGTGGAACTAGTCAACTGACACTTGTTGTGGGGGGACGACCTCAATCCATCACCTCTAAGTTCAGCTACTAATAGTTCAGTGACGGAAAAACTGTTATAGATGGTTCATTGATAAACAAATTATTTAAAAATGCTAAATTTTAAATATTCGTTTAATAAGGTGTTTATATTTTTATATATGTATCATTTAATAATATGTATTAAACTACTTCCAGGTGATATTGAAAAAAAAAAAAATATGCTTTGAATCTTTTATACATAAAGATTATAATGTATCCTCATTTTTGTAATAAAAGCTATTTTTAATGCATTACATTACAACGGCATTTTGATATAGTTTTCGCTCATAGTTGCAAGTGTATTTATAAGTCAAGTGAGTGAGTGCAAGATGGTATATAAAAATTAAAAAAAAAATGCTAATTTGAAAAAAAATCATTAATTTGATTATTTTATATTATGAAATAAATTTATACATTTTAAATTGATATTTTGTTATTTTATTTTTGTTGTATTTTAAAGCTATGTGTTATATTTCAAAATTATTTTGTAGCTGATAACCAAATCAGTTTTTAGTTTTTAATATAATAAGTGAACTATTGTTATAATTAAATTAAAGAATGAACTCTGACCATTCTTGCTACATTTGTAAATACAATATAAATTTAATCAATTTTGTTTACTGTCAATTGTGTCACCATTGTGCCAAAGTAATATACTAATTAGTGTACCAGAAAACTGAAAAAGCATTACTTTCAATCATCAGGTAATTTAATAGTATATAATTCACCGATAAATCAAACAGAAAGAAATTAAAAACTACAGTTTATCCATTTCAGGAAGGTCAGTGCTATTCATTTCAAAGTGAAGAGATGAGCGCGATATCACGCTTAGGTTAAGAATATTGAATGTTATTCCAAGTTGTAATTTTTTTTCACTTTTACACACTGGGAGTTTTATTATATGGGGTTTAACATTATTTTAAAATAAATTAATACAAATAAGTTTTTTCCAGGAGGAATTGCACAAACACCACTGGGTTTTCATGGATATATTTGGAAGAATATAAACTCCACACACACCCCACTTTTTTCTTAAATTTCAAAAATATAATAGGTTATAATGGTTTGGTACTAAACTTATTTAATAATTTTTATGTAAAATGGATTAAATTTTGGAATTTACACCCACCATCAGCATCTACATTTAAAAAAGGTATAACAAAGGATATTAATATTTTACATCTACAAAATAATAAAGTTTACCTTATTTTATTTTATTTGTTTATTGATTTTTTTACAGACAAGGGGTTCTCTGTCCCCTTCTCGCCAACCCCAGAGTTCCCTTAATTGGTCTTTAAATTGTCCCCAAAGCATCGATGCACGTACTTCTCCACTCATTATTAATTAAGCAAAGAAATGTCTCAATCTGTTTGGCATCATTGCTGAAGCAGCATTGGTCATCATTTTGAACATATAATTTTCCGATTCGCACAATCCCGCTGCTCTTGCTGCCTCCTGAGATCTTATGATAAAAAAACTTCCATAACTTTGCAAATTGTAATCCGTTTTTAGCGATTTAGCGCACAAAACACAAAGCTAACTTACGGATTAAAATAAGTACTTAAGTAAGGTATAAGTAAAGTAGGCTTACTTTGTGGGAAAAAAGTTCCGCTTTCCAAGGATGTAATATGTCTTGGTTTCTTAAAGTTTAAACTGAGAAAATAGTGAGAGAAGTGAAAAAATCTATTGAAACGCATTTACTCTCTCCCTATATTTTTCTCTTTCTACACCATTAAAAATGTATAGGTCCTTCTTTCTCTTACACTTCAACCAAAACTTTTTTTTAAATATTGTAGAAACTGATTAGGTTTCGTGATCAGATTGACCAAATAAATTCTTTTCAATTAATTAATCTTTAAGTAAGGTATTGGTTGAGATAAAAAAATCAGTGTCATGTGGGGGATTCGAACCCACGACCTTTGGCTAAATACTCTGCTGCTCTACCACTTGATATTATAGAAAGATGATTTTTATATATATAAAAAAAAATAAATAATATAATAAATAAAAAAATAGGGTAAGCTTTATAATAAATGTAAAATATTAATATCATTTGTTACACTTGTTTTTTGTCTAGATGCTGATGACGGGTGTAAATTCCTGAATGTCTAAAAAAATTAATGTGCAAATAAACCAAAAAAGTTACATTTTATACAGTTTGAAACCTTTTTTTTAAATGCAGTAAAGTTAAGAAGAAAAAGTAATTTTTTATTGGGAGCTAACTGTAATGCAATTTTTACCTATAAAAAATTGTTAATAATGCCTCGTAATAAAATTATTTTTTTCTTCAAATGTTATGCATAAGGAAAATATCATTTTATTACAATACAAAAAAATTCAGTAATCTTTTGAAGGCATTTTTTACATTCACAAAACAATTGCTCACAAATTAATTAAAAATAAAATAAAATTGTTATTTGAATAGTACTATTAAATAAGTTTTTCAACAAGTGAAAATTGCTTTAAAATTTAACTTTTAAGACGTAAAGCACCAGTGTTCCAAGTGAACACTCACCCTCATGCCACTCCCTGGTCCACAGTACTCTTTTTCCCATGGATTCAACTGACCGCTCTAGCCTGGCACAAAACTCCAAGCACATTAATTAATTTATGTAATTTCAAGAGCGTTCCCCCCCCCCGTGTCTTTAAATGCTAATTTTTCTCAGTCCAGATCCTCTTTTGCAATTAATATCAACTAGTAATGAGCATATAGCCTCTGTATTAGGTTTTTTTTTAGTATATTTTGCACTTTAAGAAATTGTTTATTGGCACTATTTCTGTTTTATGAACTTACCTTGCTTTTTGCCTCTAAATAGGAAAATTAAATTAAATTATTTTCGCTACGTTGGATTGCTGAGGTAGGTGGTTAGAGGAAGGAACATTTTAAAACCGTCATGCCGTAACAATCCCAGGGACTGCTAGTGTTGTTGAGAAATTGGTACATTTGTAGTTGAGGAAACCAAAAAAGATGCTTTTGTTCATTTTTACCCTAAAGATATTAAAAACCAAAAATCTCATTTTGACCTGAGGGTGAGGTATACGGAGATAGTTCTAGGCGTTAAAGTAGATCCTGTTTTTTCTTAAATCTAAGCAATCATGGACAACCAGTAAAAAAAGTCTATTTACAAGCATTTAGTCTTATCTGAGCATGATGCCCCAGTTAGCCCGTTAGGGACAAAATGATGTACAAGCAACATTTTTAAGGGCTTTTTTTTTAAATTAAGAGGGACGCTTTACACTGAAGCCAACCACACAGAAAATGGCTGAGTGCCTATAAAAATGTGATATTTATTCTCACTGATCCTAAAAATGTAGCTTATATGAGCCTGGTGTTGGGCAGCTTGGTACTCCGGTGGTACCAAAGTCCACCATCCTCCCAGACGAGCATGTCATACCATTCAACAAAAAATATATTAACTTTAAAACATAACCCTTTTGTCTGTTTCAATCCTTAATTTTCTTAAAATCACATCCAATGTGTCATTTCACACCGAAGTTAATTAATTCTTGCAGAACCCAAAATGATTTAAAAAAAGCTTTTAAAGGGTTTTCAAAACTAAAAAAAACTAAAATACATCACACTATTATTACCAGTTGGTTAAATATTAGTAATATTTTTCATTATTCTGGATTAACAGTCAACTGAATGTGAAAAATTTGTCCATTAAAAAAATGGATGATTTTAAGTGTTTATAGTTATTAGTGTTTAAAGTTAGTTATTATATTGTTTTTCATTTGTTAACTTTTATTAAAAATAATACAAATTGATAATGGAGAAATCACGAAATATCCAACAATTCAAACGTTATAATGTACAGTCATGTTTATTGATATTGATTAATATTAATAATCCCAATAACAAACAGAAACCTAATTATTAAATAAATAATAATGTAAAATATGCTGTTTTCAAATATTTGCCTTTGTAAAGTAATATTTATGAGTTTTTCTATTTTCAAACATACCGCAGGATATCAAGGTTGGGTTGGAAAAAAGGGAAGTACATAGTTGAAAAATTAAAAATAAAACCCCGCAGTCCATTATAGCAAGTTATTTATTTATACAAAGATAAACTAATAATTGATGTAATCATGCAGATTAATTTAGTATTTATTACACATTACCTTTTAATAAAATATGTGCACTTTGATATCTTACAAATCATTACAAGTTATATACACAAGTTTCCAAAATGGCCAAGTTGAAAATTCCAGGAAACATTAATCTACCCTGTAATTATTTTGGATTTATCTGCTTGTTCCATGCTTCGTTTATTTGCGTTCTGGTGTGTTTCTGGGTCCAAACGTAGTTTATAATTAAGTAAAGATCAAAACAAGATCGGTTTATCCTTTGTTTGGGCAAGCACATATGATGTAAATCGTTTTAAAAATCTCGGATATTCTCTCTTATATACTGCTCTTAAAGCTGAGGCAGGAACCCATCCTCCAGGATTAACTGCAACAGATAAAAACAAACATTCAATGAAAACAATAAGTTAAAGAAAAGGTTAACCTTTGAAGATAGTTATACATTTTATCTAAGTTAAGGTAAAAAGGCTAGTGTCACTAGCAGCATTTGAACTCACAACATTCGACTCAATGCACTGCTACTCTAACCACTTGAGCAATAGTGACTTCAAAATAAGAACTGTAATTATTATATTAATCCATATATGTATTTAATAGTCATAATTAACCATATTATTTTAATTAATCATACTTTTTATGTAAGATCTTGTTTGAGATGAAGAGTTGGTGTCCGAGTGGATCGAAGCTAAACTAGCTTTTTCATATCAACCAAGTTATATAGAAAGTATATTTACTTAACATAATTAATACAGTCAACTATGACTATAAATACATATATGAACTTTTATGATAGGTTCTACAATAGCCTTAACCAGGTCCTAAATGATAATAAAGTTTACATGTCAAAAATATTGATACAAACAAACTCGTATTCACATAATTTTCCCCATTTTTAGCAGCGAGGGGAACTGTGGTAGCAAAGTGGTTAAGGCGTCAGACTCTAGGCTAGTAGATCCCGTGGTTGTGGGTTAGATTCCCACTATCGCCTCTGGACTTTTCTGACGCATAAGGGTGGCTGTAAGGAATGTTGAAACAGCACTTATAACCGGAAAATAAAATGGGATTGGGTCTCAGATATTATGCTGAATTCAGTCCTGATCCCCCCACCCACATGAGTTTCTTCAATAAAAGAATACTGGCAGACCCGGCGCTCAATTCACACAGTTGTTGGAGTGTTTTTGCTTCAAACAATGGAGCCAGTAAGGCGTACATGTTACAACGTCCGTGTTTTATTTTTCCAAACAATTATATTTGCGTATTACTAATCCTAATATCAACAGCTATGGAATTTTGCAGGAGCCCAGAATAAGTCAAAATCTGAAGGGGCAATGTCAGGCGAATATGTTGGGTTATCACGTTCCAGGCAAGTCCAACAATGTCAGGCTTGTCTGCAAAGATGAGGGGGTGAGTTTATCTTCTTTAAAAAAGCCAATGCTGGTTGTTTTTGGTGGCTGACTTTAATTGAACCAATTTTGTGAGCAATAGAATTAACGATTTGGTTGGACCGAAGAAGCTCATATAAAGCACCAACTTCTTGGGATGTAATCCAGCTTTTGGGGAAGTTTTCCTCAGGATAGGGCTGTCTATAAATTGTAAACGACCCCAGTTTTCATCCCGTTATCAATCTAAAAAGACACTAATAAATGCATTCATTCTAGATGGGTAAAACCACACTTGGAAAGCCATAGTCATCAAACACGACCCAATGCATTTATTTGCATCAGGTATCCAATCAAATTTTCCCTGCCATCACTGCTTTCTTACTTCTTTGATATTCATGGACTTCTATACAGCGCCAATTATTCACACTCTACTAATAAGTGTATGGTTATTTGAGCGCTGCACAAGGTGCATCTCTGCAACCTTTGGTTAAGTAGGAGGTGCCCATGCATTAGTCTACTGTGGTCAATTCGTTATCGGGCCATCACTAACCTCTATTTTTTGTCAATGATTTGCCCAATGGTTTTATCTCTTTTAATTTGTCAGTCATTACAGCCCAAGGTTTTGCCAATCTTCCCAACATAGATTTTTAAAATAATTTTTGTTATCCGCTGGGTTCACAGGAATCTCCGGATCATGTGGCAATGTTGCTGCTTGTTAGGCACCAAGGTCTGCTTTTTCATTGCCTTCTATCCCAACATGGCCTGGAATCCAGGCAATGACTTCTTTATTTTTTTCTTTATTTAATTAATTAATTTTCTTTTGTATTGCCTGGATTAGTGGGTTCATAAAGAAGATATTACGGATGGCCAAGACTGCACAATTTGTGCAGATAAAAGTCTCCTAGGCATCGAGTAAATAAGTGATTAGATTTCGCCTGGTGAAACAGAATCTCATTCTTTAACAAGACCAGTTAGAAGCTGTTGGAGGCAGCGAATGATGTCTAACCAATTTCTTATAATGTCCCATAAGTGTTTTAAGGGATTCAGGTCATGAGGTTGAGCAATTCATTGTGCTAATCCTACATCTTCCAAGTAATGGGTGACAACTCGAACTACATGTGGTCGAGCATTATAATGCATTAACTGTCACCAATAAATGGAGCAAATGGGACCACAGCTACTAGAAGAACTTCCTGAAGGTACCTTACTGCTGGGTCTGTATGATAATCAGTTTGGTATGGGCATGGACGTCGGTTCCACCCATAACATAACTGACTTTCTTTGAAAAGGCTGTGAATCACGCATGGCACATGAAGCAAAGCGTTCTCTACACACAATCCCGGTCATCTGTTCACCACAAACCAAACCGGCACACATCTGTGAAGAGAACAGCACCCCATTAAGTGTCCAAGCAAGATGCTGATTTGCAAATTGTCACCTTTCTACTCAATTCCTTGCCAGTAGTAGAGACCTTGATGTGGGACTAGGCTATTTTCACCAATCCTTCTGATGACTGTTTTAGAGGACAGCCTTACATTTTGGACTACCTATCAAGGAAGCCGTTAAAGGATGGTTAAGAGCAATAAAATAATTGTACCCAGAATTTGGGCTATGAAACAGATACTACATCCGTCATTGGACAAATGACCAGAGCCATGGCCACCCAGAAGAGATCTTCTTGACTTAAAACCATGCTTTTAAGAAAAAACTAGTCATTAATTTTTTCCTCAAATTTATTGTTGCATCAAAGAAAATAATTGAAAAAATATTAAGTCACTTGACAAGTGGGCTTTGGAAAGAATAAAATTGAACTGTTTTTCATTTTTTTAAACCAAAGAGTGTAAAAGGGTTAGTTACACAAGTTAAACAACACAAAGTTGTTAATGTTGTGTCAACTATTAATCTTTATTCCTAGTTATGGAAAATAAATAAGTAAAGAGACTTTTTTTGTCTTGAGTGTATATGTGCATTCTTCCTTCCTATTCACCATATCAATCCATACAGAAAACAGGGGGAGCATCCACATTTCCTGGCTTGATTCTTTAATTTCTGTATCTGTGTCAGAATGCCAGAATTGCAAAGAAATATAATGAAAAATTATTATAGGAATATTTTAATATTTCTTTTGTTAGAAAAATATTTTTGAATGTTAAATTTAATTTGTAATTATTTAAGAGAAGAATTCAGTTGTGTCGCTTCCTTAATTTTGGACCAAACAAGGAAAACACTTTTTACCTTTTTTTTTCACTCATTCGTTTTAAATATTTATTCATACCCCAGCGTAAAAATTATTTCATTAAATTTAATTTAAAAAAAGTTGAACTCACCAACTGAACAGTATGTTATTTTGCATGTTATATCATCCCTTGTCACCTCAGCGCCATCTTTTGGAGGGGTGATTAAGGTTTGGCAGTATAAACACACAGTTAAAATGACACGAACACACTTATTGCCCTTTGCCTTAAACAACAGAACACAAATATAAAAAAGTTGAATTATAGTAATTTTAAAATGAATAAAGAGACTCGGAATAATTTACACGCAATTTTTGTACTTATTATGTAGCGATCATCAATACCTTAGACAAAACTCTTTACTATAATTTAAATAATATAATGAAATAAATTTAAATAAAAGAATAAATTACTTACAGGATATTGTGGAAGATAAGTTGAATGATTGACTACAGCCCATACATCACTGTCATGATCATTCGGATCTGGCAAGTTGGTTAGATGGGACCAAAATAAGGCATCTCTTTGAGCAGTAGGCCAAATACGCTTATACACTTGAAGGAATACCATTTTTTCATCTGTTATTTTTTCCACGACTGTCATTTGCTCTAAAGTAGCTAGAAAAGCCATAGCGATTGTTAGAATTTTTTTTTTGTAATCATACAACTTAAAATTAAAAACTTACTTTCCCAATCTTTGCGATACTGAGGAGAAAAGAAATAATGGCACATTTCATGCCCTGTAACACCCTTGACGATATGGCAAGCCCTTAATGGGTCAATCACCAAGCCATTCAGCTCTTCTTCACGCCGATACATTTTCATATCTCCTTCCTCAGCAAACAAATGCCAAGGTCCTTCAAGACCAATGCCAAGACTTGCATAATGAACTTGTTCCTTTGTTACTTTATCGATCTAAAATATATGTTTTCAGTGTATTATTTTTGAATTTTACAACTTAAAAAATTATGAAAGATCCTTTTGAAAGACTGCTCACCTCCTCCCATAATGGGTGATTGGATGCATTCCCTGGAGTTTGAGGGACATCACACAAAGAACAATCCGATAACCTTGCTCTTAGAGCAGCTTCCATTTCAATACGCTCAAGTCCAGTCTCTACAGCATCATAAAATTCCTCATCACCGAGTATACTGTGTGGGCCTTCCTATGTTAAACAGTTTTAAAAATTATTATTAACTCCTCTAAAGTAAAATTTTTCAAAATATGTTTTGTGTACACTCTCTGCTAATTACTGAAAAATCATGTTTTTTATACACAATAAGTTAAAACACAATGGCAAATAATTCTAGTAAGCATTACTATGTTGTTACAAAAGTCTTTTGAACATAAAAATTGCTATATTCAAGGTTAATAATAAATAATGATGTTTCAACATAAAAACTGCTTTATTCAAAGATTAATAATAAATAATGACGTTTGAACATAAAACAAATCAATTTAAGAATAGAAACTATATATAACGAAATATTTAAATTTTTATTTTAAAAAATAAGGTAAGCTTTAGAATAAAATGTTGTAAAATACTAATATCCTTTGACCTTTTGTTACAATTATGTCTTAAAAATGTAAATGCTGATGATGGGTGTTAATTTCCAAAAGTCCAAAAAATTTAATGTAAAAATAAAACAAACAAAAACACATAGAAGTTTTTTTTATTTAAAAAATATAATTATAAAAAAGACAAAATTATAAGATAAGTCTTTAAATAAAATCCATGGTACATTGTGAAGTTATAATTAATTGTAATGTTTGAAATATTAATTATTTAGCCTAATAATTTAAGTAACCAGAAAAGTTTGTGCGTTTTTCAAGTTTTTAATTATTATTATGACAATATTATTATAAAATATTTTATTCAGGGAATCAGGGAATAGTCTCCATTGGGATCTATAACCTGCGCTCAATGAGTTACTAGCCCAGTTATGCTCTTCTAAAGTCCTGGTAGTTAAAAAATAAATTCAGCTCATTTTCTAGATGTTAGCGATTATTGAACTTGATAGCACATATGATTGTCCATTGTTAAGAAACAAGAGTCAGATGGGGCTATGTCTGGAGAGTACCAAAGTTCATTAACATCTCCTTTGCATTCAGGCTGTATGCGGTCTCCCATTGTCCTGGTGAAAAATTGCAGTCTGTTTCTGACCCAGGTCAAGAGTACGTGTTGCACTTGATTTGAGTAGATTTCTGTGTGATGACAGGAGTTCGTAGTGCACAATGCCTGCCATACACCACCAAACACAAAGCATCACCTTTTGTTCGTGAATATTTTTGCGTCAATGGGACAGGGTCATTTGGTCTAATGATGCATTCCTGGTGTTACTGTACAGGAACTTTTGTCGCATATTACAATCTGTACAAAAAAAGTCTCTTCTTTGTTCCCTGAAAGCAATGGAAGGAATATGTTTAGACCTTCAAGCTTGTTACTATCGGTCAATATATGAGGAACCCATTTGCTCATCTTCCATGTCTTTACAAGTCGATGTAAGCTGGAGCGAATGGTTTCATTCCTTACGTTGAACACTCTGGCCAGCTCTTGAGATGCTTTACTTGAATCAAGTTCGATAGCTTTCCTTAATCCATCATCATTCAAGACGAATGTCTACCAGACAGTGGTTCAAAGAAAATGTAGACTACTGATTTACATATAATTTTTTAGATAACTTTTTTCAAACAATCCTAGCTTATCAGGCAATTCTGCATCATCAAAAACTACAGAGGTGCCCTGATTTTGAAGGCTGGTAATCCGAGTAGATCTGAACCAAAAATGCCGCCATGTGACACCATTTTACCTTCCACTACACACATTTCTTTAATTGCCACATTTTTCTTAGTATTTCTTTCTTTTTAAACTATCTCGAGAGATGTACGTCACAAACTTTTTTTCAGAAATGTTGTGATTTATAAATGTAAACATAGTAGGGGGTGCAGAGTTTAATACAGGATTAATGCAAACAAAACAAAACTTATAAACAGAAGTCAAATAAGGATTTGCCTAAGGATTTAGTAATGTTTTGATGCTCAAGGTCTTATTGTAGCAACACAGAAATTAACTTTTTGCAAATTAGTCATGATGCATTACCTCCTGGTCAGGTCCTCCAACTAGAGAATGTTTTCGGTTCAAAGGCTGGCAACTCTGTTCCATCTTAATTAACCTTTGGCGTTCTTTTTCTAACCTTTTTCTCCACAATTCTTCTCGATGACATACAATCTCGATACACTGAGCTAAACCAGAAAGCACTGCAGATGATGTTGCCTTAAATGTCATTGCTTCTCCTTTAAAATCCACAGCAGACATTTTCCCTTTGGCCACGGCTTTCTCTGTAACAACATAAATAGTTATCTTAAGATGATAAGATAAACAAAAAGATCTATCAATAATGGAGATTTGAGCAAATTTTCAGCATGAATAAGAAACTAGACTTCTTTTTGTAAGATAACTTGTCCTGTTTGCTTTTATTATTTTCCAGACTCAGTCACTTAAATTGTATTGGTGTTGAAGTCATCTCTAATGGAACTGTCCGTTATAAAATTTAAAAATGTGTGGTGATTAGTGACTGTTAGTCGATGATTATTCGGAAATCATGAGATGCGGTCTGGTGTGACATAGGTTTCAGAAAAACATTTTCTTTATCATGCCAACGTTTCGATCTTTCTTGAGATGATCTTCAGGGATTTACAAACATTGTTTAAATTTAACAAATACATGTAGGATGTGGAAAAAGTGAACTTATACAATGCAAAAAAAAAATTTATATTCAATCAAAGTATTTCTACGCACTCAAGTGGTTGTTTTCTGCATAATTGTGCCATTCTTGCATGTCATGTTGAGAGTGCCAGTGAGATATTGCTGTTTTATGTTTATATACGTTGGATTTTGAAGGGGTGGGGTAGGAAGTCGGTATAGAAAGACATTTCTGTATAAGGAGTCGGCTTCTTTGAGGTGAAAAGAACCGACGAAGGGAAAAAAACGTTGGTAATGGTTTGGCCAGATCATCCTTTCAGGATTATATAGGCGGGGATAATAGGAAAAGGAAAGCTAAATTGTTGAAAAATTAGACTGTGAAAAATGTTTTATATGTTATAATATGTGTTTTGTGTGATGTGATGATATATGTATGTTATCTTATTTAATTTTATTAATGATATTGGAGTAGCTGCGACTGAGTTTACATGTGTCTGTTCTGTAATTGATGCTGTGTTTATCTCTGTTGATATAAACCATTTCTAAAAGGTTACATTTATGTTTTGTTCTGTGTGTAATATTTTTGGATTGTTGAAGTCGAAATTGTGTTTGTGCTCAAAATGGTGGGTAGCGAGTGCTGTCGGATTTTGCTTGGGTTTTTTGCAATCATAGATATGTTGCTTTAGTCTCTTATCCAGATATTGGGCTGTAAGACCGATGTAAGTTGCCGGACAGTTTAAACAATTGATTTTGTAGATTATGTCAGATTTATTTGTTATTGGTGTGGGATCTTGAATTTTGGAAAAAAGTGTTTGAATTGTTTTATAATTTTTGAAAGCTATTTTAAAGTTATTGGACGAGAGAAATGTGTTTAATTTATGTGATAGGCCATGAATGAATGGCATGGAAATGTATGTTGGTTTCTTTGGCCACGCAAGAATGGCACAATTACGCAGAAAACAAACACTGATGGAGTAGAAATACTTTCATTGAATATAAATTTTTTTTTTGCATTGTATAAATTAACTTTTTTCCACATCCTAAATGTATGTATTTGTTAAATTTAAACAATGTTTGTAAATCCCAGGCCCTAAAGATGATCTCAATAAAGATCGAAACATTGGCACGATAAAGAAAATGTTTTCTGAAACATAAATCACACCAGACCGAACCTCATGATTTCCGAATAATCATTAAATGTAAATTCATGTTAAAATTTATTGTACATTTGTCTCATCAATTCTGTCGTTGCTTTAAAATAATCATTCATGTATTATACAGCATACATAATTTTTTTTTTTTTTTTTTGANCAGAGAGAGAGAGAGAGAGAGAGAGAGAGAGAGAGAGACAGACAGACAGACAGACAGAGAGTGAGAGAGAGAGAGGTCATACGAAAGTCCAAGGCCAGTTCAGACTATATGAATGTTCGAGAATTCCTTTTGTTCAATGAATTCCTCACAATGAAATTTTACATCAATCAGTTCTTCCTGTTATGTATAACATAACTACTTCTTAAAGTTAGTGAAAAAGAGGAAGAAGCAGTGAAGAAAGTGTTAAGTAAATTTTAAAAAAATGTTTAAAGAAAAATTGACAGTATAATATGTATTCTAATATATAATATGTATTCTAATTTTGTGAATGCAATAATAGTAATAATAAAAAAGTGTTATGTTAATTTTTTTGTATATATCTATGTATTTTTTTTAAAACCCTCTGTAATCCGAATTTTTCAATAAACCAAATACCCCCTGCAATGATTAGTTCGTATTACTGAGAAAGCACTGTAGTTTTATAGCTCACAAAAATACAACAGATCAAAAGTAAAATATACTGAAGATTAATATATATTTTCTCTTCATCCGCACTTACCTAAATCTTCACCTTTCAGTGAGACTACTTCAACACAGGAATCAAAATAAGTTTGAAGGGTCTCCATTTGAGTACACAAAATATCTCTGTAAGTTTCCATTTCAGCTAGCTTTTCTTTCAAGCCTTGAACAAATATAAAATTATTAGATAAAAATCTAACCATGCAATCTAATCTAATTTGTAAATTGGAAAAGGACCAAATGTATTATAGACAATCTGTAAAATTGGTATGTACGACAGGGGAAAATGATGAACAATTAAATTCTTATTTTAGGATGGGGTTTCATTTACCAGCCATAGACTAATATAACCGAGAGAGGGGAGACGTGTGAAATTTATTTTATTTATCAAACAAATTTCAAGTCTTTACTTATGTATATTTTTTTTACACACCTCTCCCTTTTTTAAAACTGTTGGATGAATTGGCTGAAAGAGTGGCCGAAGTTAGTGATACTGCACTTCCATGACGCTTTAAACTGGACTCGCTTCCATAACCTGATTCAGTCTGTAAATTAAACAAAAAACAAATTTTAAGATTTAAAAGTACAGGAGTGAAAAAGAAACAATTATTACAATATCGTCAATCAATATAAGTAAAATTTACTTTGAATGCTTCCAGAATTTCAACCCAATGTTGCTTATCTTCCGGGCTTTCTGCTCTTAAATACCAAACACAATCATTGACCGCTACATCAAAACGACACTCATCAAATTCATGAGGCTGTAAGAAAAACAACAGATTATAAATATAAATTAAATTCTATCATAAAAAGTAGGCTGACATTCGTTACACATTACAACTATTTATCTTAAATACCAATTCGTTTAATAATAGTTATTGCCAAAACTGAATGGACACTAAAAAGGGAATTTCAGGCATACTATAATGTTATATCCAAAAGTACGGGATTTTTTTTCTAAATGGGACACTATGTGTATATAAACACTAGCTGTGTTCACCATTGCACTTATTCATGTAAAATGTTATTAATGTTTTGATTTTGTCAAAATATATCTTTCTAGAAAAATAATAAAATTTTCGTATAAGGACGCCAGTGAACACACCCAGCGTAAGTATAATGTGCAGTTTTATAGGCTTATGATACATGCACAGAATATCCAATCAACATTGGATGTTAAAAAAAAATAATAAAAATAGAGGCAGGCGAGAACACCCATAAGTGGCACTTCTCACTCACTTTCAATAATGTACACCACAAAAATGAATAAACATTAACCACAGCTTCAGTACCTACTTTACTTCCACTACTCAGATTTTCGTGTTATGTACATATTCCCAATGTTATCCTGTTCATTCACTGTTATTGCACAGATAATGTGCCAACATCAAACACTTTTTTGTGGAATATATACTCTAACTATTTACATAGAACAAATTATTATTATTATTTTTTTTTTATGTAGCAGAAGTTGCTGGTGACCTTCATACGCTTTAACATAAGAGTTTTGTTTTGGTATTTAATCAATGGGACCCTAAAAAAGGGAAATCAATTATAGTCTACAACATTTGTTAATATATTTATGAGCTCAAATTAAACTGTTTGAAAGAATTTAATAATATATTATTAGTTGCATAATTATTTGGGTCAAGAAATTCTAACCCGAATAATCCAATTTTAAATTGTTTGAGGTCTTCCAATCATGCGTTTATTCAAATTTTAATACACATCTCTACAGTATTGGGTCATGTTTCAGCAAGAGAATAGTCACTGTTAACATTAAGAATTGTGACTACCTTGATTGTTGCTTTGAAAAGACTGAGTGCTCCTCGGCAGCCAAATCCTTTTTCATCTTTAGATTTGTAATATGATAAAGTTCCATCTTTAAGAACGATATAGCGGCTCTGCCAACCATGGATATAATTGGTCCATTTGCTCAAAACACCCTGAAGTTCTGGGGGTTGAAGACCATTATCTGAGTCATCATCTTCCTCGCTTCCTACCTCATGCTCTCCCGAAGCTACTTCTGCACAGAAATATACACTAAATTATTATATTATTTAGAAAAAGTATATAAGTACATCACATATATATTGATCATCTTGATATAGATTTAATTATTAATTGTGAAAATCTCTGATTTATACAAGCTCAATCTGTACATGCAACATTCACCCAGAGTGGTGGAGTACTTCATATTTTTCCACCACACTCCAAGCATATTATATAACTAATCTAATTACGGATTCATGGAGTACTCAACATTCTACCATCAGCCCTCTCACAAAAAACATTCACACTAATAAATACGTTCTAAAGTAATTATTTACTTATTTACCAATTGATTATTTATTACTGCTGTAAATACTGATTGATTTATTTATTGGCTATTTATATCGTTGTTTGTTAATATTGGTACATTCGTATAGATTATTTATGAATTATTTATTTAGTAATTGATTGATTAAGAGATGAGGAGCCTGGGTAGTTCTGGGTGCTGGGTTGGATGGCTCGGGTTTTCTCTGAGGGTGCTCCACATGCAAAGGGAAATGGTCCCCGAGAAGTGGGGAGGATGCGGACTTTTCCAGGGGCCCCTGTGGCCATGTACGGTTTTTACCCACATCCTCCTAATGCTGCCGAAATTAAGTGTATACGCGAATGAGAAGCGGGCCTATGGGGTGGTGCCCTTTGGGATTGGCATGGGTCGGTTGGCATAGTCACCAACAAAATGACATTGACTGAATGTCTGTAGGGCAAAGTAAAAAAAATAAATAAATATGTTCACTTTCAATACACACTAGAGTATACAAAACAATACTTATATCAGTACTATATACAATAAAACAGCCCCATTTCCTCCAAAAATTGGAACAGGGGACCTCAAACAACTCAAGCACAATTATCATATCTGGTGGCATTCCTACTTGCTCTCTATGAAGAGCCAAGGAATATCACGCTTCAATTAAGTGGGACTCATCCAGCAACCTTTCTCTACATGCTGGACAAATATGTGTGCTTACAGGTCTTTGCCCACTAGAAAGTAACGCACTAGGATCGTGTCAGGCATGAAAAAAACGCTCCGGTCACTACTATGCCCACTGCAACGGATGAACCGCGATCTATACCCTTATATATCGTGAATGTAAAAACGTGTCGTAGCTGTCCTGCTTTTGCTGTCGTACATTTCTTTTTTTAAAAACGCGTCGTTTGTGAACTTTTGTTTTTGCGTGAGGAGTGAATTTTGTTAAATAAAGTATGGCTATTAGAAAATTATCTATATGAGAATTGGCCATGATTGCCATTATTTTGGACGAGGAAGAGGAAAACCAAAAAAACACTAGACGTTACTGGATTCACGAATCTCTACGAGCGGGCCGATACCTGCAAAATATTCTCGGCAGCTGATTGTTGACTGAACGTACATGGCACGCTACGGTGTTGGCCGGTGACGGAACGGTGTAGTGGGCATTTTCTAATACTAAGTGATGTAAAGAATATTTGCATGTGTCAGCATGATTATGGTCCTAGTATGATATGTTCTAATGGGCAAAGACCTTTAGCCGAAAAATAAGTGTCTGTGTGTCAACCTTGCATGAAATAATCGGATGAGGATGATCCTTCTGCAAGGCAGGACCTCTGAGAGTTAACAGTCCTCTCTCAGCCGATCCAGCCCACTGATGCTGTCACTTTCTTTTAAATAAGGTTTTTAATGCATTTTTAGCTTCTAAGGGCCGGATAATGGCGGTTAAGTTTAGAGCCTGCGACAACCTGGCCTTGGCCGCCTTTCCAGACCTAATCACCAATAAGAGCACAAGAGGGTCGGCAGAGAACCTGTCATGGACAGCATTATCTACGCTCAGGGAATCAGTGTAGACGAGGTAGGAGAGCCCACCATTGTCACAAATCACCCCAAGTACATGCCAATGGTGAAAATGTCTTTACAAAACAATTTACTCATACGTATCACATACCTGATTGATAAAGAAAACTTTTTTATTAAAAAACCCTGCTTAAAAGGTTTAATATGTAATTAGTCAATACAATTTTCCTTTGAAAATGACTCATGCTATAAGCACTATTGATGCTGAGAGCCAATTATTAGTTTGAATTTTGCTTTAAAGTTATCTTCATTTGAAGGTGAAAAATTTTTTTCATGTAACTTTTTCTCTCAGTAAACAGAACTTAACATATTGCAAGATTTCCTCCTGTGGTCTGTGGGGGATGAGTCTACAGTTTAATAAACATATCATCCTGGCCTACCTATCCTCGCTGATTTTGTCTGTCAAGACACTTTTTGGTATTTTTGGAAATGTCTAAACATATCTAACATATAAAATCAGCGAGGATAGACAACCCAGGATGATAAGTAACGATCCAATTATAGAATGTACTAGGTTTGCTTAAAATTTTCACATTGACGACAAAAGATTTTGAAGGAACAAATTTTCAAATTGGGATTAGGTTTTTTTTTTAAATTAATAACCCAGCAATTTTCAGTAAATAGAGATATCTTGTTACTGCAATAACCTTGGTTGAACAAAATTGTGATACTACTTTCACAGATAACAAGCATCAGTATTTACACGAATTCATCATTCCTTGCTGAGCTCCATCTAACTGTGCTTTTACACAAAGAAAGTCCATAAACATCCTAAATTCAAAAAGTGGGTTGTCTCCGAATACGCATTTAAATTCAGAGATAGTGCACAATCTTCAGTGAATAAAAAAAAGGTCTTAAAACAATCACCGTTCTTATCCCTACATGATGTAAATTATAAATCAAATTCATAAACAAATAATTAAACATTACAATCTGATAATATTAAAGCCTGGATGTTAAATGGATGACATAACAGTTATGTAAACATTTTAGGTTTTTTAATATAAAATTATTTGTTGTTTGTGGTTCGTAATAGCAAATAACTTTAATTAACCTTATGACATCTAAAGTGTGCAACCACTGCTAATTTGGGCATTTGTTACCATCTTATCTTATATATCCGTTTAATCATTATTCATTAAATTGCAATCAAAGATAAAATTAAAGGCAGTACATTTCTCTTAATTACATAAAAGGTTTGTTTTTATAAACACTAGTGATATGTACTTTCGTTGTTTGGCTTTGGACATGATATTCACACAGGCCAATTCACAGGAAGATTTTTTTTATTGTTTGAAGAAGGTGTAATTACCATTTAACTATCAGTCAAATAAAAGCGGATCCATTTCTAAACTAGATAGGGGTGCCAGTACAATATTAACTATCAAACGATAATTTTGATATAGTTTTTGATACCATCTAATATTAGTTTTTTTGTGTGTTAATATTATGATAAAATTTTGTGTACATTTAAATATCCATCCAGTTAAAATATCGTCTTAAGTCTGCGTTTTGACATTTTATCGAGTTGTTTTCTGCAGATTCCCATGTGTCACCCTTTCCAAACAAGAGATAAATTATTATCAATTAGATAAACCTTGGGGGAAACGTTTCTAAATATACTAATGTGTACATATTGGACTTGGCCTTTGTTATTGCATTTCCCATTATTTCCTTTCATAGAATTTTGTTTAAATTTATGTATGATGGATGCAACAGGATATTTCATTTAAGGGGAAAAACAAATTACGAATCAAAAAGAAAATGCTATTTTTTTCAACAAAGAAAAGATTATTAATAGCCCTATGGCGTCGTTCTGTTGTGTGGCATTACTTAAAGACTGTGAAATAAAGACCTTAACAAGATTTAGGTTAAATCCTAGGGTCTTTTAAGGAGGTAAAACAAAAGGATACTCCTATGGGAATATTTAGATCGATTAAGTTATTAATGCCCGTAATGCAAGGATAAAAGAACGGTCGAGCATCTAATCTAAATAATGATTTCCATTTTTCCGTTGGCATTATAGATTGTTTGAGAGGACAGAAATATATTGATTTCTTGAATAAAAGGATTCACTCCACTACCACATCGCACATGTATATGCAAGCATTGTGACATTTAATTTTAAAAATCTTTATCAACAATATCCAAAAATGCTTCCCACTAGTTCTTCAATAGCAAGAGTGTACCGAACAAATAAATGACAACTTGCCCTCAAAATTCCCTGATTCGTCCTTTAAATTTGAAAAACATGTTGATATGTTATTGGCTTGCATGTACATACATACATCAATGTACTGAGTTGAACCTATCACATTTCTCAGTCCACCGGCAATTCCAGCTTTTGCGTAATTTACAATAAAGTATCAGCAGGCCTCGAGAATGACCCACCCTGCTTGTTGGCATAACTTACGTTCCAGGAGCTGTCAGCAGCTAGGCTATTTTAGCCCCTAATCAGTCTCCCATTCACACTTTCTCTCATTCTAAAATACATTATTTCCTATTTACATGCCATTCCCTCGGTTAGGGTGGTGGAGTACTTTTCCTCCATCACCATCTAGGTTCATAAAATAACTAATCTAATTGAGGATAGGGTACTCAAAATTCTGCCGTCGGTGCTCTCACATTTCACTTATATAAATACATTCAGTCTCAACATACAAAAGAAACACAAGATGAAATATCTATTGAGTATTATGTACAATAAAACAACCCAGTTTCCTTTAAAAATCACACAAGGGACCCCATTCTCCCAAATACTCGCTGCCGAGCTCAAGCTCAATTCTCATATAAGTTGATAATTTCTACACGCTCTCTATATGGAGCTGAGTAATGGTACTTTTCAATTAAGTGGAACACATCGAACAACCTTTTTCACATGCCGGAGTTTTATCTAGAAACAAGGAAGTTGTGAATATGGCATAACAGTGATTCTGTGTCCTTTTTATGACAATAAATCATGTTTTAACCATTTCCTCTATGAAGGTCAGTCATGCCAAGATAGGTAACAAAGGATTCAATTACCACATTTGGATTTACGCTCAAGCTTCTGTTTGACATTTGCTATTTTACTTCTATAGTATTAGTGAAAAGTCAAACAATAAATATATGAACATTCGTCAATTTAGTTTATTTAAATCACATATTAAATAATTTGAAATTTTATTCAATAATGCAAAATAAAATAACGTGGGAAAAATAATAGAATATTCCCATTATATCTATATGTGTGTACATCATATGTATTAAGAACATCATATGTAATTGACAATTATACATAATAAATTATATGGGTACTTTATTAAAAACAAAGTGGGAATTAAGCGTTAATAAAACTAAATAAAGCAAAATGATACTAATAAATCAAATGTTAGAATAGAGTTCAGTTCATCCATGGAATTGAAAAATATACGGCTTACTTACTTTTTTTAAATAATTTGCATTATGTAAACAAACTAACAACATCCTTTTCTTAAGCTGGTTTTGTAAACAAATTTAATCGACATTTATACAAAATTTTCAGTCAATTGTTCCTGTTGATGCAAACCCAAATTGTTATATTTTTCACCATGGTTCTAAACTTGGAACAAGTACAGGTTTCAGTCCAAATATAATTATTTATTATTTACGTATTTGTATTTTTGGCAAAAAAAAAATTAAAACACAAATTATAATGCTACAATAAGTATGAACTATGTAGGTATTAAAATTTTGCACTTTCTTTAACTTCATCCTCTGTTCAAACGATGAACTTCCATAGAAATTACTATTGATAATCAACTTTTCTAATTTTTTATTTTTTTTTATTTCATTTGGATCATAGTTTGTAGGAAACTATTTATAAATCATTCAAGTTTCAAAAAAATTTGTCTCTCCCTGGAGCCAGATTGACAGAGAAGCTTCTATGTACCAAGAGCTCTGTCAGATGGCCCTCGGAGGATCTGACCCCTACAAGTGGGATCATCATAAAACGATTAAGGAGGAACCTGTTTAATAATCATATCAAGTTTATTTGATATATGTTGAATCGACAGTGAAATAATATGAGAGATGCTTTGGACAAGCATTTACTGGTGGCGGAGGTGGATTTTTCATAGACAAAATTTTGGTGATAGAACAAGGAAACAATGTTCTATAAATCAAGAAGTTTCTATCCTTGAAAGCACACTCAATTCATATTTAACAAATTTGCATACAGTTTTAATCTGAATGACCTCTTATTCATGCAAACTGAATCATTTTTGATGTTCAACTCGCTTAGGCTGACCACAGTATATATTTTTATGAAAACAATCAAATACAATATCAACTATTCAATAAATTATATATTTTTTAACATTAATTATAGGCAAACAATAGAATCAGATAGTTGTTATTTAGGCTGCATACTGGGCATGAATCATACAGTTTTTTTTCTTTTTAAAAACAAACAAGACAAAGTAGAAACGTATGTAGGAAAATAACAATCCTTTTTTTAAAAACGAATGTATGTAGGAAAATAACAATCCTTTTTTAAAAACGAACGTATGTAGGAAAATAACAATCCTTTTTTAAAAACGAACGTATGTAGGAAAATAACATTCCAAAATATATAAAACATATATAGTTTAGGGCTGACAAGGTGGCTATGGCTGGGACATCCCAACCTCCGGATTTAACCACTGCAATCCAGCCCTTTGATGCTAAAAATATGTTATTAAAAGAAAGTAGCAGTACCAATGGGCTGGATCGGCACAGAAGCTACATGTACCAAGAGCAAAGTTGATAGGTGGCCCACGGAGGATCTGACTCATATTAGAAGGGTCATCCTCAACTAATTAAGAATAGGCCATGCAAGGTTGACTCATGGACAATTTTGGGCTAAAACTCATGTATGTGACCGACATGTAGAAAAATGTTGCTTGATGTCATTCCTTGGCTGTATACAGAGCGTGTAGAAATGCCACTAGATATGACAATTGTACTTGAGCATGGCAGCGAGTATTTGAATCCCCTGTTCCGATTCTTAGAGGAAACAGGGTTGTTTTATTGTACATACTAATAATAGTTTTGTATCACTAGTGTGTGTTAAGAGTGTATTTATTAGCGTGAATGAAGTGTGAGATGACCGAAGGCGGAATACTGAGTACTCCACCAATAACTGAGAAAATAGAAAAGTATGTTTTTAAGAATGAGAGAATGTGAATGGGTGTGGATCTAGGAACTGCGCTGGATGGTGAATTGACCAAGCTATTGACGGCACACAGAGCTTAAAGACTGAAGTCTGATCACTTTTTTTAAAGGTTGGTTCTTACTCACAGGTTTTTATAACAGAGGTGTCACAGATAATTAAAACTTGTAAGAACCATCCTTTACAAAAAGGGAATCGGTATACCCCACCTTCGTATTATTTCTAAAGGTCTGACCCCGTACTGCCAACACCCAGGGGTGGGTAATTCTCGGGCCTGACGGTAATTTATTGTATATTAGAAAAGCTGGAATTGCCGGTGGACTGCTAGAAGTAATAGGATCAACTCTGTATATACATGCACAGATTTGAGCTTATAAAAATCCAAATTCGTCATAGTTTAGATTTAAAAGCTTAGTGGGAATGTAAACTTTTTTTTCGACTTTGTAATCTAAGAATCAACTGCCATGTTAACTGGGGGTACATTGTCCAATTCTAAAACGAATTTTAGGCCAGACTTTCCAATGAAATCAGAGTTAATCGAAGTTTCGTTTGAAAAAAAAAAACCTTAGATTAGTGTGTCGAAATTCTACTTATTGGGAACATGCTGGGACTTTTAAACGTGCAAACCAGACAAGGAAAACGTAACGTTTTAACATGATGCAAACAGTTCACTGGAAAAATCGCAATTTTCAATTTAAAATCACTTACCGTATTTCGACATTTATAGAGATTATAAATTAAGGACGGCTATTGTAAAATCAATCGATGTACAGCATAATTGCAAAGGAGCAAATGACTTCGACGTTTCATAAGATGTGAAAGAAAAGCACTAGATACTGGTTCTCTGATAATGAAATAAGCAATCTAATACGATTAAGAGGAAGGGTACGTTCTGTCATGCCAAACATAAACTCATGACCACCCTCCGTTCCATAGGCCTCATAAAAAATACCAAATCCCTCAAGTTTTCAACACGAAATATTTTAATTTAAATAACAAATGGAAATAATTCACAAACGCAATGACCTAATTGTCACCATTTTAATTAATTAAATTGAATTAAAAGTGTCGAAAGTTCGTGACGACATTGTGCTGAAACGAGCCCGCTTATTTTCAAATTTCTTATCCTTATTCCTTACCACTCACCCCACAGGGTGTGCTCGTTTAAATTTCTTAGCTGTGGTCGATTTTTTTGTATTTAGCGGAATTGACCTTTCTTTATTTACTTACTCTAAAAAATACAGCCCCTTCAGGTAGTTGAACACTTTCTGAGATTCCACCAAAATTGCTATTAAGTCTATATGGTGGGGCTATGATGAGACAGGATTGATTCCCTTGTCCACTAAAATTAGGGGATTCAGCGGAGTATTAATTATGTCAGATCGGGGGTTATTAGCAGTACAAAAAGTGGAAAAAGTGTGCAGAAAAAATCTTCTCTTCTCACAAATCAAAAGCACTGTTGATAAGAGCCCCTCGGGGGATCTGACTTGAAGGAATGGGATCATCCTCACCCGATTAAGAATATACCATGAGAGGTTTACCATGAACACTTACTTTTGGACCCAAGCTTGTGAACGTGTCCAATTTGTAGAGATTGTTCGATGTGTCCCACTTGATTGAAGGGTGCTATATAGAGAGCATATTGGAATGGTACGGATATGAGAATTGTTCTTAAATAGAGCAGTGATTATTTCGGTCCCATGTTCTGATTCTTGGAGGAAACAGGGTTGTTTTATTGAATATAGTACTGATAGTTTTGGGTCTCCTCGTGAGTGCTGAGAGAGAAGTAATTATTGACATACAGTGTGAAGGGTTGATGGTGGTATGTTGAGTCATCGACCCACTATTTGTTTAATTATATAATATGTGTGGAGCACGATGGAGGAATATCACTTAACCATGGTCCACCATCTGACCCTCTGATGCTAAAAATGCATTAAAAAACCTTATTAAAAGCAAGTGGTAGTGTTGGTGGGGGGGGGGGTTCTGATTTGTAGAAGGAGGACACTTATTTTTGGGCCAAAGCCCACGTATGTGTCCAGCATTAGAGAAAAATGTTCGATTTGTCCCACTTAATTGACGGGTTATTCTTCGGCTCTTTGTATAGAACATGTAGGAATGCTACCCAATATGAGAATTCGCTTGAACAAGGCGACTCTGGGGCAGATTTGGGTTCTCTGTTCCAAATTTTGGATGAAACAGGGCTGTTTACACAATTGAACATAGTATTGATAGATATCTTGTTTTGGGTTCCCTTTTGAGTATGTTGAGAGTGAATGTATTTATTAGCATGTTGATGGAATATGAAGCACCCCTCAACCCTCAAATAAATAATTTATATCATATGTGTGGAAGGTGTTAGAGGAATATCAAGTATTCAACCACCTTAACTTTGTGAATGGTATGTAATAAAAGATTTAGAAACTGATGCGCTGAAGGCTGAAATGACCTAGCAGTTGACAGCCACTGGAGCTCTACCGCAGTTGGATGGATAAGACCGGAATGCCAAAACTCGAGATGGAATTATTTTCAGAGGCTGCCGGTAATTTATTCTAAATTACACATAAGCATGACTCGCCGGTGGACTGCAAGAAGTCATATGTTCAGTCTCTATGCAAGTGTGTATATAAGTACGTATATGTGCAGAGTTCAGCTTATATCACTCAATCATAATGAGAAATCAGCATCTTGTGACTTCTGTTCGCAGACGACATAGTTTTATTTTCAGATTCATTTATTAAGCCCAGCCACATACTAAATGTGCTCGCTAAATACTGCTCTATAAGCAACCTAAAAGTCAATGTCCAAAAATCTAAAGCACCAGGTCCTATCAACAGCTAGGTCATTCCAGCCCCCAATGCAATCAGTTTTTGATTGAAACCCATTCACACTCTCCTCACTCTTAAATACATGGAGCTCAGCATCAAAGTTGCAGGTCAAAAATTTTACAGCAAAACCAAAATATTGTAAATGCTGAATTACCACAATTATATTTTATGCATAAAAAGAAGATTGCATGTGCTTAATTTAATCTAACAGCATTCCTAGTTCTTAAGCTGCGTTTTTCTGTTCATTGTAAGAGCAGAGTAGTACTAATTTTAGAATTATTTTAGTTTTCAATGTTAGAAGTATTAATCACTTTTTCACTCACAAAACAGCAAATTCAGTTGTTACGGCCAAGCTTTCGACCTATTTTAAGGTCATCATCAGTTCCTATGTTAATTTCACATTATGAAATGCAATTGTTAAATCCATTCTACAAATATGTCCCAAACTTCAGACTTAACCACTGCAATCTGGCCCTTTGGCTAAAAATACAATACAAAAAGGTGATTAAAAGAAAGTGGCAGTGCCAATGGGCCGAATCGGCACAGAAGCTCTCACTTATCAAGAGCACTGTTGGTAGGTGGCTCATGGAGGATCTGACTCTTAGAAGAAGGGTCATCCTCACTCAATGAAGAACAGCCATGCAAGATTGACACTTACTTTGTGCCAAACCCTGCATATGTGACCACATGTAGAGAAATGTTAGGTTTATAATTCCAATGTTCAAGCTACGTCATCTGTAATTTTTTTAGACGTGAATCTTGCAGTTTTAACACCTTGCAAATATATTTCATGTGCAATTCTAGCATAAATATGTATATGGGAAAGCATGCATTTTGGTGATGATTCAGGGAGAGAGTAGTGAGACACTTCTCAAAGCCCACTGACAATTCAAGCTATTGTAATTTACAACAAATTACCAGCCCGGGAGTTGGCACTCCGAGCCCAGAGGTCAGACCTCATCTTAGCCACCAATCTCACACTCACACTCACTCTTAAATACATTAATTTCTAATTACATAATATTCACTCAGGCTAGTAAATTACTTAATATTCTTCCATAACACTTCTCACTTATTACATAACTAACTTAATTGAGATATCAATTGGTACTCAATATTCTGCCATTGGCCCTCTAACACTACACATTCATGCCAATAAATACCTTCAGACTCAACAGCAAAACTATCAGTTCTATATACAGTAAAACAACACTGTTTCCTCCAAGAATCAGGACAGATGACCCAAATTTTCGCTGACCTGCACAAGCACAGTTCTCAAATCGGGTGACATTGCTAGTCGCTCTCTACTAGAGCCAAGCAACAACATTCAGTTGTGGGACACATCGAGCAACCTTTCTCTAATATGTGAGGAATGTAAGTAGGAAAGACTATTTAAGAGTGAGGAGAGTGTGTAATAATTGAATTTGCTTTTTTCTTCATGATCCAGAGGGTTCATGAATTATTTTAGTTTCATTTCTTTTATTTTAACAACATTCTTGATTATAATAGTTTTTCCTATTTTTTTAAACAATGATGTCTTAATTTTTACATTATTTTATAGTTTCAACGATTTTTTGAATGTTTTAATTACACTATGTTTAAAAATCAATAAAACCATTATTTCAATAATTAATTTTGTATTTTAAATAACTAATTAGACCTCCAGGAGGAAAGCATATTAGTTTGGGTCAAAAATAATCTTAGTAAAACTTACTACATGGATATTTATGGTTTGTATGTTATCTGTTATTGTCACAAATAAATTAATACCCCCTAATACAGTCGTTGACCACTATTATTGTAAGAGCAAACCATCGAACTTAAAATTACTGAGACCGATATATGCAAAAGTCACAATTCAAAAAGCTGTAGTTTTTATTGCCAACATCCTTAAGAGCGTGTACTTAAAACATAAATTTAAAAAAAAGTAAACGTCCATCTGTCTCTTCTGTAAAATTTTCTTTTTTTTTTTAGTTGTGTCTCTTTTCTTGTGAGTGTGTGACATGATAGCTTCTCTGCCGATTATGGGCAGTATTCAGCTTTACCCAAGGGTATCCAGTGCCCTGACCAATTTTGGGGGCTGGAACGTGACAGGCCTTACATAAGAACGGTGCAATATTTTTTCCATTTTTTTAAAAAGTCGACAAGAGTTCAGAAAGAATTTTTACCAAAATATCTAATTTCAATGAGCACTTTTAGGGGGCAGTTGGAAATGATCATATGACTGGACGGACGCCAATCTTGTAAGGAATTTAATTCGGATTGTAAGCTAAATCAGTCTAGATTTTCGATTGTGTGATAAAGCTTGAGGTCGCCTGCAGAAAGTAAGAAAGTACAATGTTTAATACTTGTAAGTTGAATAGGAGAGGAGACAAACGATCCCCTTTGGGTAGTCCTGACTGGAATTTCGTTAGAGCAGTTAATGATTTTATTAAAGAAACAATCTAAACCAAAATCTTATGCCTTATTATTGCCGAATATAAAGAGAAAAAATTGCCTTTTAACCGTTTATAAGTTAAATATGTAAAAAATGAAGTTAAAAATGAAACACGATTATGAAAAGCAAGTTTGTTTCAGGAACTTCGATGACGTATTTACTTTTTTGTTTGTCTTTGGGTAAATGCTAAATAGGTTAAACATAAAAGCTCAAGAGATTAGAGAAGTATGTGTTCGTTCGGCGACGAATGTTGGATTGAAGTTTTTAATTTTGTGGAGTAGATTAGTAGTCATTTTATCGCTGTTAATTATCTTTATAAGATTAAGGTTCGCCGACCTTTACTCGCCGGTTGTTTCCTAGGGTGTTTTAAATAATTTTTTTTATATTTTATTTGTTATAGTGTTTTGGTCGTATTTAATCGAAAAGGTTTAAGGCACAGGACTGTCTTGACCTGGGAGTGGAACCAGCAACCTTCGCGAAGGATATCAAGGCTATTGGTAGGGATGTCGATAACGATCCTTGGTAGTCGGTCCTTCTCGGCTCTCTCGACGTCCATTCTCGGCCGGACGCTAAACCCATTTTCTTCCGCTTACGTTCGACACTTCGCTGACAAAAAACCAAAGAGAAAAATGGTCAGGGTATGTATAACCATTTTTTATCTTTTTTGCTTTTTTATAACACATCCTGAATATTTATTCAATATTTTTTAAATACAAAATCATTTTCTATTTGATTAAAAATAATTTTGAACCCGACAAAAGACAACTTTCACTTGGCACTCTAACTGATACTTGTTGAATGTTGTCAAAGAATCTTGATATCCTTCCCAACTTCCCCCCCCCAACTAGTTGATTGGTTAATTAATTAATTTTTAATTATTCAATACTTTCTTTCGCAATCATTAGACACCTTTTTATTTAAATTTAAATTCAAGTGAAAATGTCAGACCAAAAAAGAATGTGCCTTATTATACATATGTTAACATATTGAATAATTAATTATAGCAATAAATTCATAATTAAAATATTGATTTTTTTATAGCTAAAACCTAGTGAGCTTGGTAAAAGAATTTTTTTAAATTTTATTACAATAATGACAAGGTAGAGAGAGAACATTTAAAATATGAAAAACATTGAAATATTAAACATTGGCAATAATAAAAGACTAAGAATATACAAGAATATATATAGACAGTATAATTTAAATACCAATATGTGAATACTAAAAGGATTTGACTAGTAAATAAAAACAATTGTAAATAACATTAAATAATTTTGCATACATACATTTATATACATATACAACAACAATCAACCAGCACATCCGATATACATACACATATACCAGATGTACTAATTAACCGTTGTACAAGTTCCTCTTGAATTGCTCTTCAAACTGGCTTTAGATGTATTATTAATATCTATACTGTAGGGTAGCATATTGACCAGATCCATCATAAACATCATGTTTCAAGAGTCTTATGGCTTTTATCTCTGGATTTTACATGTACCATGTTTTGTTCCATTTTTCTTCATGTTGTGCTTATCTTATCTATTGTATTTTTCCTAAATGGACACACAGTTACCTAAAACATTCTATTTTTAATTGTTGTTTTTTCTTGTTCAATTATTTCCTCCGTGCTAAAGTGATACTTGGTTGTTTTTAATTTTTTTTTGTTCTGATGGTGCAACTGACTTGCCGCTCTAGGTCAATTTAAACATTTTCTCTGTGAATTGTATATATTCTTTTTTGTTGCTAGAAGCTTGCAGCATTGTTTAAAACAGTTACTATGTAAAAGTTAAGTTTGAAAATTCAGCATTGAAAATTTCCACGTTCTTTGTGTACTGTATATGGGAGAGTGAAAAGTGCAGTTGGTACAGGAAAATTAATGGTAGAATACTGTTTTAATTGATTACTGGGATGTGAAAATTGAGGTATAACAGCAATTCTGGGGAGTCAATATATTATTAAGAAGGCCGTCAATAAATATAATGTATGGCATATTTTTACTTGCATTGAGGGCATATAAATTAAAAGAACTTGATTTGTTGCGAGGGGAGACTAATTTCATGAATTTTGCTTGTAGTTTTTCTAACATTTGGATGTTGATATTTGTATGTGGATGCCAAACAGAACTAGCATACTCTAGAACTGGTTGGACTATTGAAGTAAGGTAAAGACAGATTAGAGGAATAGTTTCTGCAAAGTGAAAGGAGGATCTATAAAGAAATCCTAGTAGTTTGTATACCCTTTTGCAAATGGTTTCTATGTGTAAGTTTAATACCAGATAGTTTTGTTAATTGAGTTTATTAATGGTATATTGAAAAGAAACATTTGAAACTTTACAGGAGTAAGTTCAAAGACATGTTATTTTTATAGCACCATTTGTATAAGTTGTCTAGTGAATGCTGTATTAGAGATGGAGTGAAATAATTTTAGATTGCCTGCAAATAATACGAATTCTGTGAAAACATTTTTTTAGAAAGATGTGAAACCATATGAGCGTAGTATTACTAAAGCCAAATCTTTGTTTTAGAAGTAATACATTTTGATCAACCAAGTCAAAGAGAACTTATAATTTTGATTTACAGGTAGAAATGGTATACTGCTGAAATATAAACAAAAATTATAATTATCACGTGTATATACACACATACATCCTATAGTAACTTTAAGTTTTAATTATTTATGTAGTTGTAAAAAATTGTCAGTAATTTTCTTCAAAACTCTGGTTTCCAAGTGCTGATCGAAAGCTCTGTCACTTATGTGTGTTAATAATTAATGTTTATCTCAAGCATGTGCCAAATCGCATACAACTAAATGAAATACACACACACACTCTCTCTCTCTCTCTCTCTCTCTCTCTCTCTCTCTCTCTCAGCAGCCTTATACCCGTTTATGAAAACAAGGTGAAAACTGGCCTAAGTCAATCTAAGTTTCAAGAACTTAGATTGATGAGCAATTTTTTTACTTTTGTAAAGTCTATAAAGAAATAGTTACACATTCCTCAATTGCAATTAACTTCCCTTTTTTTATATTATCAGTAGTGAAAAGGTCAAGGAGATGTACTGATACGGCCTTATGTAATGTTAGTATTTTGATCCAGAGTACATATTTATTTGCTTGTAGACGTTTTATTTTTATTTTCACAATAAACATAAACTTTTTTTCATATGCATTTTTACCAACTCAGTAGACCAAATGCAACAATTTTTTAGCAGAATAATTCCTTGTCTTCTTTATTTATTTTATCATATCAAAAATGTATTAAATGCATTCTTTCTGAAAAATCATTTGCAACAACAGCATCTGGTGTTAAGAATGTGCCAACAGGGCTTTGAAGGTAAACTTGTTGAATATAAATAAGCATATTATATAAGCGTGTTTTTTTTCTCCAATAATGTCATAAACAATAATAGCGAACATGACTGGATCTGAATCATTGGGGGAGAATACTGACAGTTTTAATATTTTAATTGAAAGTGGTCATTGAACCTTAGAATAAAGCAATTGGCTATTAAACTTGGTGATTACAAACCAAACAAAAATGAACTATACATTTTCCATTTTTATGGGCTTCACTGTGAGCATCAAAAGTCGTTTAAAATGGTTTTATATGTAACAAATAAAATTTAATAAAGTTTATGCTAGGTGTCGGTGAATTTATGTTGAACCAATTGGGTCCGTCTTTACTGTGGGTGAAGAACAATAAATTAAAATTTAGTTACTCTTCTTTAACCCTGTGTATATTTTCGGATGTTTAAACAAAATACGACCTATTCATAATAAATATTGTCCAAGTTTAATGACAGAACCAGTGGCTTTGTCCACTTTCATTTTAGTTTGCCTATTCTCCTTTGTTTGCCAGACACGTTATTGCCACCATTGGTGTGTGTTATATCAGTCATTCTGTTCAGACAAATAATACACAATTTTTTTTTTTTTTTTTTTTATTAAAACACGAATATTCTGGATCTTAATATGGGCTGGTTGGAAAAACAAATTCAATTGTTATCTGTCAAGCTTTCGTTGTATTTTAAGGTCATCAGCAGGCAAAAAAATATGTCTACAAATTGAGAATAGAGACCATACCGAGATCCAGAGTAATCATGAGTAAAAAGGGGGCTGATTCATCAACACTTTAAACTAAAATTAAAACTGGTCTTCATAGACCAACCATTAATCTTACAATATATATATATAAATAAATAAATTGGCGCTCTTTTTCTTTTCTTTTTTTTTTAATTGATTGTTTGTCATTCAGATTGATAAAGAAAGGAGTATATTATGACTTTTAGAAGCCTTGAAGAGGGAAGCAAGAATAAATAAAATTTTTACATATTCTTATGAACCCGTTAGTACGATAAGATTTGAACATCACTAATCTCTAAATTTTTTCACTACACTAGTTCAAATGGCTTTGTCCTTTTCAACTGTCTAATGATGTTTTGGTTACGTAGGGGTTATATAGAAGTTTTTGAATGGTAGGAGCTGCCGAAATCTTGTGCAGGCTGAGGCGAGACCTCAGGGATTTTATGATCCGTATATAAAGTCCATGGGGACTGAAGGTAGACCTTAAATCTATTTCTGTCCTTTTTATCCCTTAGTGTTATCTTTCCGTCTCAGCTTGTCATCTAGGGTCTACCAGATATTTAGCTGTATTGCTGTACGGTATAATGGTTACATCAATGGTGAGAGATGGAGTTGATTCAATTTTTTTTATTTTTAAAATTTATATGTATAGATTTAGGCCTCTTTCAGATGAAGCAATTAGTTGATTTAACTAGTTGAATGGGCGGCTGGTGTCAAGGAGTGTAGCCGGGTAGCAAATGCTTTGAAACCATCCAAACCCCTTCAAACGCAGTCAACTCGTCCGCCTATACAGGTGGCCAGCAGGCACAGTGCCTCTAACGCTCTCATCCCCACTGATTGACTCAACTCAAAGGACACTAGTCGGCATTCTTCTTTCACACCGGTTGCCGATTTGAGTCAACTGAATTCGGTATGGGAAGTGTTCTTACTTCAAATTTCAATGCGAAACAGTTTATTGAAGAAGTTCAGATTAATCCTGCGATATGGGGTATGAAGTTTAATGAACATTGTGATAAAATTAAAAGAAGTAAAACTTGGAGAGAAGTGGCATGCAAATGTTATCCCAATTTCAACAGCATGGAGCTTGCCAAGCAAGCACAAGAAATGCTCCTGCTTCCTTGAGTTCTACATCATACTGAACTTCCGTTCCGAAGAGAAGTTGATTCCACAAGTTGCCTTATGTGAAATGAGTGAAGAAAATTTGCCTTCACATGGCAGTAACTTGTTGAAAGTCAACTCAGTTGAATCAACTAACTACCCCTTATGTGAAACTAGCCTTAAGCTTATTGAGCTCAATGCTCCGTTTTTTTTTTAAACACAAGTTCACACTTGAAGCATTTTGGAAAAATGGGTAATGTTTGGTCCTACTGATATCAATGCAATTTCTACACAACCCATTCTCAGAAAATCACTGGTAGCAACTAAATTATGGGACCTAGTATGCTCCCTTGTGACACTCCCGCATCTATTTTTCTTAGTTCTGAATGTCAATCTATGTTTGACTTTAAAATGTGATACTATCTTTGGTAGCATATAACTTGGTTTTTTGATAAGTTTTTGTATGTTGATTCCAGACTTTGCCAAAAGACAGTGAAACATCAAAGAAGATAAAATAACAAGTTTTTCTTACAATGATTATTTTAAATTAACATTTGTTACTCGATGAATTTGGTCTATTGTTGAAAATACATAAAATGAACAATTTTTAATGGAGCTGAACTTAAGTTGTTAAATTTTTTGTCTGTTTAGTCTTGTCATAACATAAGTTTCTTATTTCTTTTTCAAAATGGTCATATTGAAGTTATTATTTTATAAGTAGGAATTTTTGATTGATTATTATATTATAATTTATCATTTTAGCCAGTGAAATTAACTGGTGAGGACAGAGAGAATAAGCTGCAGACGCTCCAAAACAACGGATGGACCCTCCACGAAAGTCGAGATGCTATTTGTAAAACCTTTAAATTTAAAAATTTTGTTGAGGTAATTTGATTTCCTTCTCTCAAGTAATAGTAGATTAGCTACTTTACAAATAATGTATATAATAAATTAAATTTAATTACATTTATATCACTTTGTTTTTAGGCGTTTGACTTCATGAAAGCTGTCGCTGGTCCTGCTGAAGAAATGGATCACCATCCAGAATGGTTTAATGTCTACAACAGAGTTGATATAACTTTGAGCACTCACGATTGCAATGGACTTAGTGAAAACGATGTTAAATTAGCATCAGTAATTGATTCATTGAACAAAAAATAAATATCTGTATAGATTTAAAATATATTTGGACCATATGACAATAATGTAATACAAATATATTATCCAGTAGGTTTTGTTTTCTTGTCCTCATTTCAGAATTTAATAATGGAACTTTTCTCTTATATTACATGCATATTTTGTTATGTCCTTTGTTTTAAATATAGTGGGTAAAAAAATTATTCAACCCTTTTCATTTTCTTCTTTCATTTTATTTTGAAGCAAAACCCTTCTTTGGCCTGTAAACTAGATGATTTAACAATACATTTCCTGTAATTATTTATTAAAACTAATTGTTATAATTAGATGTGCCACCCTTGACATTTTGGTGCACCTCTTTTCCTTTCTGATTTTTGCATCTCTTTGATGTTAAAAGTGAAGGATTTGGTTGAAGTCTCAGTGGCTGGTCTTCATCTCCTGCACCAGAAATGCATGGGGGTTGAGAATCATTCGATTTGTGTAGAATTTCCAGTGCTTCACTGTCAGATATGTCAGAATCTTCATTGCTGATGCATTGCAATTTCGAGCAGTGCTTCGTCTTTACTCTGAAATTCTCATTTTCCTCTAGCGCTGAAATAATATAATGTAAACTTTGTTAGTTCCGAGAATATAAATAATAAATAAAAAATTGATTCGTTAAAACTAACAAAATCAACAAGTTTGTACATATATATATANAATTGGGGGGGTTATTGGGAAAAAAGGGCCAGGGGCAACGGTGGGAATCGAACCCACGACCGCGGCGTGAGAGTCTCTCATGCTAACCACTCGGCTACCGCGGTCCCCTACATATATATATTGAATGTGGGCCTAAACGGTAAATTCCCAATGGTTTCAACAAGTTTGTGAAGTAACAGAGTAAAAAAAAACTACAAATTTTTGTCACACCATGGATTATAATAACTGTTTCTTAAAACAACTAAAAAGTTTAGATGGAAACTAAAACGCAATAATGAACTGATAAAGAGGTTTAAAGTCTCTTGAGGTGTGATTTCAAACTTTACTTTTTTTTAAGTAATTATAAGCTCACTCCTGGAGGAGCTTTTAGATTTTCCTCTCCATCATTGCTTGGTTGGTGTTATACTTGAAACATCTAATTCCCGATTCAATTTCCTTCATTGAACAAGTAAATCATGAAAAATTGCTTGCTAAATTAGACTCTTCTGGATTTATGGATACAGCAATAATTCAGTTGTAAACCATTTCTTCATCATCAATAGGAAGCAAGTTGTGAAAATCAATAACTGCTCTAACGAAATTCCAGTCAAGACTACCCCAAGGTGGTCATTTGTCTCCTCTCCTCTTCAGCTTATACATGAATGACATTAAATCTTCTATTAAATATTGTAATTTTCTACTTTTGGGCATTCTAAAATTTTACAACACAATCAAACTCTAGACTGTCTCAGATTACATTCTAACTTAGTCTTGCCAAAACTTTGCAATTACAAAAATGGCCTTTTTGTTTTACTTCCCCCTAAAAGTGCTCTTTGAAATTAGAGATCATGGTGTTGTATTCAATAATAAATTAATTTAACTGGCTCATCTTTCTCCCATTGTAAAACTTCCTTCCTATATCTTGGTGATATTTGTCGATTTTCTAAGGAAATGGAAAATTTACTTAATTTAAAATATTGTACCCCATCCAACCCTTGGCTTTATTCACTTTCAAAACAATACATATATCAGTGTTATATAGAATAAAACTATGTACTGATCTATGTATTTGGATTTTTTATGTATTGTTTTGTTAGATATAATGTTTGTTTTGATGTGCCTGTTAAACATTACCAATCCAAGTTAAGAGGTACATCAAAACAGACATATATCTAATGTATTGTTTAGTGATCACTAGTGTGTGTGAATGAATGTATTTATCGGCATGAATGTATAGTGTGAGAGGGACTATGATGAAATATTGAGTACCCATCGACCTAAGTATTAATCAAATATTTTATATTATATATTAATGCCATACATATTTTACTTCTTTATAATAGTGAACACAATTTTTTGTACATCATAACTTATTGATAGGATAGGACCTGGTGCTTTAGATTTTTGGACATTAACTTTTAGGTTGCTTATGGAGCAGTATTCAAACAGTGAATCTGCAAATAAAACTATGATGTCTGTGAACAGAAGTCACAAGATCTCTCATTCATTAGGTACTAATTGATATAAGCCCAACTCCACAATATGTACATACATACACATATGAACACACATTGAACATATGACTTCTTGCCAGTCCACCTGCTTGCTCTTGCTGGCCTTCTTATTGTAATTTTGAATAAATAATGCAGAAAAGAATTCCAGCTTGGATTTTGGCATTCCGGTCTTATCCATCCAGCTGCGGTAGACCTCCATGGGCTGTCAACAGCTAGGTCAACTATCAGTACTGTATGCAATAAAATAACTCCGTTTCCTCCAAAAAAATTGGAACAAGGAACCCAAGAAAGTACAATTTTCATATCGGATGGCATTCCTATGCACTCTCTATATGGAGCCAAGGAATTGCACCCTCAATGGTGGTGGCTCATCGAGCATCCTTTCTCAACTTGATGGACACATATGCCGGCTTCAGCCTAAAACTCAAAAGGAAGTGTCTGTGTGTCAATCTCGCATGGCCTGTTGTTAATCGGATGATGATGACCCTTCTTCTAAGAGTCAGATCCTTCGAGGGCCACACATCGACAATGCTAAAACTGATTAAATACTGAATCATCAGGGTTATTTTTTTATAAATTGTTTTTGTGAATGTATAATTGTTTTATGCTAGCACAACTGTAAGTTCTGCATGTAATAAAATAACTCTGTTTCCTCAAAAAAATTGGAACAAGGAACCCAAGCAAGCAAATTCTCATATTGGATGGCTTCCTACGCGCTCTCTATATGGAGCCAAGGAATTACACCCTCAATGGTGGTGGCCTATCGAGTAATCTTTTTCTACTTGAGGGACACATACACGGGCTTCAGCCCAAAACTCAAAAGGAAGTGTCTGACTGTCACCCTCGCATGGCCTGTCGTTAATCGGATGATGACCCTTCTTCTACCAGTCATCTTCCGAGGGCCACACGTCGACAGTGCTAAAACTGATTTCATAGGAATCATCAGGGTTATTTTTCATTTTTTTATGATTGTACATTGTTTTATGTATCGATTTTGTTATTTTAAAATATTTATTAGCTTATACAGGGATATTTTGTCGAAATCCGGAAGGAATGGGAGGTGTTCAATTCGCCAATCTTCTCAGGGAGGGAAATTTGTCATGATCTCGCTGTAAAGTGTAAACATTGGTGGTGGGGGTGCTGGAGTCGCGTGTAATCAATGCAATAGCGAGCCCGATGTTCAAACCGAGTCGGACCAGGCCCAGGAGGACCGTCTTCACCTCCCAGCACGCGCTATAGCAACATGAATACGATATTTCAACTCGGACATTTTTCCCTTGTCGTTTTTCACAGTCCCGCTATTGATTAACTCGCCGTTGATCCGACGTTTATTTATTTACCAGGTAAGTGGTTGATGTTTTTCTTCACTTTTTATCAGACATCAAAAAGCCCGAAACACCTGCCCGAATTTGATTTTGTGTTTATCACGCACTCGTTGGGATTCGTGTTATTACGGCGGGACTTATGTTTTATCCAAGTTTCGGGGAATGCACATTTCATTTTACAGGGGAATGAACATATGGAAAGTGTTAAATGCCGTGTTGGAACGCGCCCTTCAAACTTTTTGACGGAATGAAGGTAATCGTGTTTTTCTTCGCCTTGACGCACAACTGTCAAAATTTTTACCTTCATTAATTTTGTATTGCTAATTTGCTGTCACGAAGGCAATTTACCTACACAAGTTAAATATTGTTTTTTACTTTTTTTTCAATTTAAACAATTTCTTCAGAAATTAACAATAAGAAAAAAATTAAAACAATATTTTTATATGAAAATATATACACGTATATATTTCATCCAAAATTTACAAACATTTCTTCAATACTGGAAAAGTGGAAAAATATTTCAAGGACAGTTCTTAAACAAATATTTCCTTTTTTTCCATTCCTTTTATAGCATTCCTCATGATCATTTACGTATGAAATACCTTGGTGTTTGATTACTGTCGCATTCTACTTTCTGTTGAATTGTTTATCTTTGATACGATGAACTCATCTCAACCGTAAGGACAATTGAACGCTTGCTCAGGTCAGTTACAAGGATGTTAGCTGTTTGGAAAAATTAGTGTTAGGTTTGTGATGTGTATATTTTTTCTGTAGTATCAAACAAATAGATAAAAGACAATTTGAAAATAATCTAAACCAGTTGTTAGTTATCTGAGGCAATTGATGTATAAAACGTTTTAATTTGCTTAAAGATAAGCTTTAAACATCGAACACTTTTAACATAATTTTTAGTTTAATCGAAACAAGTATACAGGAAAGCAATCACAAATTCACTCATTATAAGCTCAAGTTTTTAACTATTCTTTCAAGTTTTTTTTTCTGTAATCTCACACAAACACACTTAAAAAAAGCTCAATTGTTGTAAGCAAAACTTGAAAATGGGCTTAATCAGTAAACGGTTTTGATTTGTTTAAAGATACGCTTTAACATTGAAAAGTTTTAATTTTAGTTTTATCAAAACAAGTATACAAGCAAAGGTTAACTAGTTAAACTTATTTACAGTAGCTGCGCACAAATATAAAAATATTCACGACAAAAAACACACATATAAGAAATGCTCAATCGTTATAAGCTCAACTTGAAAGTTGGCTTAATCAGGAGAGTTTCAAAGTTGTTGGTCAACCAAGGAAATTAATGTTTCAATGGTTTTAATTTTAGTCTAACAAAAACAAGTGTTCAAGCAAAGCTTAAGCGTTGTAAGCTCATTTTTTTAACTTTTCTTTTACACTATTTTTTCTGAGACACTTCACCCAAATACTAAAATTCATGAAGCACAAACACATAAAAAAGTCTACTTGTTGTAAACACAACTTGAAAGTTGGCTTAATGAGGAGAGTTTCACTGTTTTTTGTTATCCAAACAATGTTTAAACGGTTTTATTTTTAATATAATAAAAACAAGTATACAAGCAAAGCGTAAGCATTGGATGGTCAACTTATTAATTTTTCTTTTTTGCTGTTTTTTCTGCAATCTAAAAAAAATTAATTAATTAATTTTAAAAAAATCACGAAGATAAACAAAACCAAACAAAGCAAACATTGTAAATACAACTTGAAAATTGGCTTAACCAGGAGAGTTTCAAAGTTGTTAGTTAACCAAGGAAATTAGTTTTAAACGGTTTAATTTTAATGTAATTTAAAAAAATATAAAGCTAAGCTAAGTTTAAAAATCATAAGCTGAACAATTGCAAGATATGAAAATAGTCTTAATCAGGATGGTTTCTATGTCGTTAGTTATCCACGGAAATTAATGTTTAAAAGGTTTTAATTTTAGTATAATAAAAACAAGTATGCAAGCCCAGCGTAAACGCTTCAAAGCTTCAAAAAAGACAACAAAAAAAAAAAGTTAAAATTTGCTTAATCAGGAGAGTTTCAATGTTGTCAGTTAACCAAGGAATTTAATGTTTAAATAGTTTTAATTGTAGTGAAATAAAAACAAGTGTTCAAGCAAAACTTAGAATTGTAAGCGCAACTTTTTAACTTTTCTTTTACACTATTTTTTCTGCAACACTTCACACAAATACAAAAAAAATCACAAAAAAGGCTCAATTGTTGTAAGCAAAACTTGAAAATCATCTTAATCAGGCAGGAGGGTTTCAAAGTTGTTAGTTAGCTGAGAAAATTTATGTACAAATGGTTTTAATTTGTTTGAAGATAAGCTTTAACTTTGAGCAGTTTAAATTTTAGTTTGATCACAAATATACAAGCAAAGCTTAACTATTGTAAATTAAATTTATTTTCTATATGATGAATATTTCTATGAATACAAATATATTATGACGAAAAATATACACATAAAAAAAAGCTCAATTGTTGTAAGCGCAACTTGAAAATTGGCTTAATGAGAGTTTCAAAGTTGTTAATTAACCAAGGAAATTAATGTTTAAACAGTTTTAATTTTAGTGTAATAAAAACAAGTGTTCAAGCAAAGCTTAAGTGTTGAAAGTCAATTTGTTAAATTTTCTTTTACACTATTTTTTCTGTGACACTTCACACAAATACATTAAAAAAAAGCCTAGTTGTGTGCACAACATGAAAATTGGCTTAATGAGGGGAGTTTCACTGTTTTTTGTTATCCAAACGATATGTAAATGGTTTTATTTTTAGTATAATAAAAACAAGTTTACAAGCAAAGCTTAAGCGTTGGAAGCTCAACTTTTTAATTTTTTTATGCTGTTTTTTCTGTAATCTCAAAATAAAAAAATAAATTAAAAATCCCCGAAGAAAAACACAACCAAACAAAGCAATCATTGTAAATACAACTTGAAAATTGGCTTAACTAGGAGTGTTTCAAAGTTGTTAGTTAACCAAGGAAATTAGTGTTGAAATGGTTTCAATTTTAATGTAATTTAAACAAATATAAAGCTACGTTTAAAAATTTTAAGCTCAACCATTGCAAAATATGAAAATAGTCTTAATCAGGAGTGTTTCAAAATTATTAGGTGTCAGAGAGGACTCGTGAGCCGACCAGGTCCCGGACCTTTTAGGGATGGGGTACGGGCCTACCCAGGCTTTTAACCCCTCGGGTCCTGGTCGCCCACCCTGCGTAATATATATATATAGGTGTCAGAGACACTTAATATACAATGTATTTTAATTTGTTTAAACATAAGCTTTACCATTGAGCAGTTTCAACTATGGTAAAACAAAAACAAGTATACAAGCAAAGCCAAGTGCTCAACTTTTAAACTTTTTTTGAAATTTATTTAATTTTAACACTTGTTATCCTATCACGTCATATTTGTGTATCAGTGTGCAAGGTTATTTGTTTCAAGTGTTGATCTTTTTGTTATGTAATGCAGTAAACTGTCTTGAAATGGTCAGTGAGGTTTTTGATATTTTATGTTGTGCCTGATTCAATTAAATTTTGCCAACAAATTAGTCCACACTGTTGTTCAAGTTTCAAATTAATTGATTTCAGTTTTAATTAGCAGTACACTTCATATCTTACACAGGGTCTAATAACATTGAAAAATCATGTGCAGTAAAATCATGTAATTTTCTCTGTATACTTATTAACATGATTTTTTTCTTAATATGGTTTGATTAGTAATAGTTTAAACAAATAGAATTTTTTTAAATTGTAAATATACCAACCGAACATTGCAATTTGCTTAGATTGACAAATAAACTAAACTCTTGTTATGCTAACAAAATAAAACATTTAAAATTTATCGTACAATTTATTTTTGTGGATGAATTTGTAATAATAAGTTTGATAGATGTTGGAATGTATTTATTTTGTTTTCTTTCAAAATTTTATACTATGGTAGGATTTCATTAATAATTAATCGTTTAATTTTTTCAGCTTAGTTAGCAATGAAACCTCGTGGTGATAATGGGTGTGCCATTCGGGGTGGAGGCGTTGCCAGTAAAAAAATGAGAAAGAGAAAAGAATTGGACGCTCTTGTCGGAGGTGTAAGTGCGAAAAGAGTCGGAGGATGTAAAAGGCCTGGAAGTGGCGGCGTGAGTCCCCAGGATCAGCTACTATCAGAATCCACAGGCGAAGAAGATTACTGGGGTACGAAAATGAACGGGAAAGAGAAAAGGAGATACGCAAATGGAGGAGTTAAAAGGGGAAGTGGAGCTTGCAGTGCCCTTTTAAGACTCTGCACTGTCCTTTTGATAATGGCATGCGTTGTAGCTACTGTTACAGTAATGTGGCTATTTATTGATATAAGAGAGCAGGCTACATATCTACGAAGTCAACTCGATCAAGGTAAATCATATATAAGTCCTGGCAAAACTATATTTTCAAACTAAAGTACCAAAAGTTGTTCTTAAGCCAATCAAATTCCTTTCTACTTCCTATTTATAATTTTTTTAAAGTTGCTTTTTTTCATTTTTCTTTGATTGTAAGGCTTAAATGAATAAATAATCTACTTAATCAACAATCTTTGGAGGGGGCATTGGTGGCCACAACGGTTTAGGCGTTGACTTGGCGCTCATCACTGTAAGGTAAAGGTCCCGGGTTGGAATCCAGCAGCCCTGCATTCAAACCCGAAATACTTACAAATGAGCTTTTTTCAAAAACACCAGCACCCCGAGGGTTGATACGAACTTTGCTGTTGCAAACCCTCATAAAAACAACCTTTGGAGTTGATGTAAAATATCCTGTAATTCAGAAAGCATGTTCGGTTTTTTTTTTAAATTTTTTTTTAAATTTTTTATTTTTTTTATTTTTTTTTATAACTATATGAAATCTATATTTGTTTTGCAGTGACTGCTGGGACTCAGGGTGTTCCTGAAGAAATTCAACAATGCCACTCTTTAACCCGCCAACTTCAGAATAACCAAACACAACTGTTTGCTAGTTTAGCAACAATTTCTCAAAAATTAGTGAACTTTACTAATATGGTATGTATAGGGATAAAACATGTCTTATTTATCACAAAAAAAAAAATCTAAAATATAAGATTTGTATAACTGTTAAAAATATTTTAATATTATAAAGTAACATACCTTTGCAAAGCTAGGGTTCTCCCCTTCTCCCTAAAGTATAACGTTTTATATTAAATATGATATATTTTTAAAATAATCAGTTGTTAAATAATAAATAAATAAAACTAATTAAAAAAATGAGGTGACCGTGGTAGCCAAGTAGTCAGTATTTAGACTCTCGACTCGTAGACCCCATTTGTGGGTTCTATTCTCACTGTCACCCCTCGCCTTTTTTTTCACACTCCCCAAAAAACTATATATGATCATACATCAATGTACATGGTTATCTTATCTGGCATTATTTAAGTCATAAGGTCATTAAATTTTTTTTTACATAGGAAAATTGTTAACACGTAAATCTTGTAAATAATTTTTTAAAATAACAATAAATATTTTTCACACTATAAACCGTTAAAAAATCATGGGCTCTGCCGGCATTCGAACCCAGAATCGCTTGGCAAATAGAAATCGAATATCCTAGCCACTCGTTCACCACAGTCTGAAAAATCAACTAATTCATGGCCTATAGGAGGGCTTAAAAACTTACCTGTTGGGTGTCAAGGATGAGGGGTCAAACCACTTTACAATAAAATTTTCATACTGTAATCTATTAAAAAACCATGGGCTCTGCTGGGATTCGAACCCAGACCTCTTGCATGGCCAGTAGGAGTCAGACACCTAGCAACTTTTTCATTGTGATTCCCTTAGAATTATTTATAAGATGTGAGTTTTTTTTTCAGATTAGTGCAGTTCAAGGAGGTTTATCTAACGTACAGAGTAAACTTCACGAATCACCTGAGTTAATTAATGTGCCCAAAGGGCTCCAAGCCTTATCTCAAAGTGTTGCCACATTTACAAGTTCAATGCAAGACGTCCAAGCAACTACATTACAGCTATCCGAACAGTATAAAACTTTATCAGCATCGATTGAAAAGCTTTCTTTCAACATCACAGACTTGCATGTAAGTCCGAATTAAAATGTTTAAAATTATGTTTCGGATTCATTTAAAGAAAATGACAAGGTCTATTTTTTCCAGATAACTGTTGGTGATCTGAAAGAGTTTGTCCACAAGAACGTGGGAAATGTGTCAACATCGCACGATGTTGTTAACGATAAAATAGTTTCTACAGTTTTAGACAAACTATATCCAAATATATCGTTGATACAGCAGTCTGTCTCGCAGAGGTTAAACTGGACAAAAGATGACCAGCATAAAGATCACGTAAATAAAATTAAATTTACTTTTACAAACGAGCGAAATGAAACTCATAATTGTTAAAATGTGAACTAACAATTTTATATCTTTTTAGAAAACAATAGAGACACTTCAAGAAAACTCAAATAATATGAGCAGCCACTTGATTTCTTTGCAAAATGAATTTGGACTGTACAAATTTAAATACGACCAACTTGTACAAAATCTTTCACAAATTAACTTGCAGGTAAGACTAACTGACAGTTTTATCAATCATCATAAATGTATTCAAAATTAATGTCTTAATTCATCGTGGATAGAATTAAATTGTTTTTTTTTTTTAATTTGAAGGCTTAAATTGGGTTATTTTATTGTGACTGATTAAAAATTTGTTATCACCTTTCTTACTTTGAGTAATAAAAACAGTAAAAACCAACTGATTCCTGTAACATTACAGGTGCCGTATTGCAGATAAGGTGTTTTATTTTAATGAAAAAGGTTTTTGTCCGTTATTCTTGTTTATATTTTTTAAGATGATATCACAATGTAATCTTTTAACCTATTTAACCATTTTCAGTTTTCTTTAAAATAATTCTTGAGCTATTTATACTGTAGAATTATTTTAAAAGAGATAAGATTATCATAAATACTTATATAATAGTTCAGGTTATTATACCTGTATCTTTTTTATATCTGATCTGTATTTAATTTTTTTTCCTCTTAGGTTTCAAGAAATTCTGACGATTTAAATAATATGAAATCAGAATTTAATAATATGACAAACACTCTATCATACTATGGAAAAGAGAAAGTTACTTTTAACAACATTTTAACAAATAATAACAACAATGTTTCTTGGAAATTAAATCATACAGAAATGACTGCTACAAACAAATCGAATCCAATACAAGGAGGAGGTAATTATTACTACTATCATATTAAACTACTAATATTAAAATCATGAAGGAATCTCAAACAAATAGCATAAAATTTAAGTACACAAAAGATTCATTGTAATAATAATATCAAAAACTTTACAAAAAAGTTAAAAATGTCACTCAATATTTAACTACTAAGTAACCAGAAAAGTTTGTGTGGGTATAGAGTTTAATAATTGTTACAATTAAAATTATTGTAGAAATATTTTATTCAGGGAAATGTAACTTTCTTCTAGCGACTTACTAGCCAAGTTATGCCCTTCTTATAGACATTTGGGTCCTGTGACTTAAAAAAACAAATTCAGCTTATTTTCCAGCTGTGGGCAATTAAAACTCCCAATTGCACATATGATTGTCCATTAAGAAAAGGTGAAAGTCAGATGCAGCCAGGTCTGGAGAGTATGATGAAGGACTTACCAACTGAGCTTTACTATCTCACCTCTTTTGTCAATCTGTATGATCTCGGGTTGAGGTGAAAAATTACACCTTTTCTATTCAAGAGAGCAGGTTGTTTCTGGGTGAGAGCAAGAGATACTAACAGTTGGCTTGAGTTGATTTCTGCGGTATTGGTGTAGTTCGTAGTGAATATTCAATGTGACAAGGTTATTTGATGATGATGTACAGGATCCATTTTTCGTCACATGTGTCAATCCTGTCAGAAATCGTCTCTACTTTGTGCCATGGAAGCAAGGCAGAAGCTTGTTACAATTGGTCAGTTTATTAGGAGCCAATTTGTTCTTCCATGACTTCCCAAGTCAATGCTAAGTTGAACACTGGTGAGCTCCTGACATGTTTGACTCGAATCAAGTTTGACAGCTTCCCTCAGTTCGTCGTTATTCAAGACAGGCCTACCAGATTGTAGTTTATCAGTCCCCTCATTCCCAGAAGCAAACTTTTTGAACCACTTTTGGTCAGTATGCTCACTTATTGTTTCAACACTGAACACAGTGTGCCTTAGTATGATAAAGAAAGCTTTATAATTTACAATGAACTGTTTGTTTTTCATTACAACTGACGTTTTATCCTCTTGGAATTACGTGACGATGAAAGCAACTATAAGATAATTTTTTCACGAGGTTATATGAACCCTCGGGATGCTGGTGCCCATTTGTATGTTGGGTCCAGAACCTGGGACTTTCACCTTTCAACGAGCGCTGTATCAACACCTAAACCATTGTGGCCGATTCCCACTGGATTAACTTTATTAAAACAATAACAAATGAAAAACTGTACCAACCTTTCTGGTTACCTGGTAAATATTTCTTTTTTGTTTTTGTTTATCTTTCTTCGATTTGTGTACAATTACAAACAAAAGCAAAAAAGAAGTATTCGACCATATTCCACTTCATCAAATACTTCAAAGATGATACTAAGTCTGGGTTTTTTTTGTTCCCCAAGCACTGCGGCCTTCTGGCTTATTGTACTTTACTAGTTTCTTAGTTCAGTCTGTTGACTCGATCCTTCTCTTAAGTAGTACTAAGTCATTCAAAAATGGATTGTATATTTAGTTTTTTATTATTATTGTTATTGTTTTTTATTATTATGTTTTTTATATAGATAAAACCCACTTGGATCAATGAGTTTCCCTGACTTCTTAACATCAGTTCCTTCTGTAGACACAAGTTCATAGGGAGGACCTTGAATGTGCTTCTGGCTGATTTCTAATTCCCACCTAGATCACACTGGGAAAGTATTCTTACTTACAATTATGAAACAAATATATAAACGTGTATTTAAGGATTAAAATGTTTTGCTTTATTCTTGTGTGTCAGCATGGGATATTTCAATAACATTTAAAAGGAGAAAGAGAAAAAGCGAGAAAGATTGTAGAAACGTTTTCCCCTCTTAAAATCATTCATTTTTATGTCGAGTACGTTAGTATAAGCAGTATCAATTTGAAAGCATAACTAGTACTTACGAGAAATTTTGGAGTTTTTTTTAAATGTTATTAATGTTCTTAACAAACACTTTGTAAATCCATTCACACATTTCCATAGTGAAACATGACTAGATTCCATTAATTTTTTTTTAAACTAATAGATTGTGAATAAGACAGATTCTATTACAAATCAATTAAAGTAGGTTAACAGTTGTAATTGTAACAGTGTATATCAAAATATTAAGTGTGTATTTGCATAATGCACAAGTCATCGAAGATTATTACTATGAGTATTAATACCCTCCTATAATTGTTACCAGTAGAATATAATTGTTTATTGTCTTCTACCATAATATTGTAAATAGTAGTTTAATTTGTCGATAATTTGTAAATTGAGTGGATAGATGTTGTTTCGTATTAAGAAATTATAATATTCTGTTGTCACCTTGTTCATTGTTATCTCAATAAATGATTCAATTTTATGATTTTAGTTATTCAGTTATATAATTTTTACCCCTTGAATTGAAAAATTGTAAAATACGTAAAATTGTATACAAATAAAATTTTGTTGAAGTTTAACCATGTTTTTATTTTCAGCCAGAAATGTTTTGTAATTAATTGTTTTAATAATTTTACATCTTTTGAAAATTTAAAAAAAAAAGCCATATTATACTAACAGCCCTTTATAATGCAACTCTTCGTACAATCACTTCCGTACACCCTGGAAATTTGTGTTATTGTGAGTAGCGGAGAGAAATCATGGCTACTGTCGAGAGATATTAAATTTAAATGAGACAAATTGTTTTTGTTATCCCAAATATATCATCAGCTATCGTGACTCAAGTGGTTAGAGCAGCAGCGTATTGAGCCGAAGGTCGTGGGTTCTAATCCAGCTCAAGACACTAACCTTTTCATTTCAACCAAAACCTTACATAAAAAGAATAAATAATTGAAAGAAGTAATTTGGTCAAATCGGACCACTAAACATAATGTATTATAAATAGTGTAAGTTGTATTGTGTTGTTAATCAATTTTGCCCGTTAGTATTTTAATTTAAAAGATTTGCTTCTATTTTGCTGAAGGTTTTCGGAGGCTTTTTTTACTTAGGGTAGGTGGAAAAGATTTTGAGAATTTTTCTGAAAGAAATCTACTCCCGGGTTTTGACGTCACACTTTTGTGGTTTCAGTTGTCGAAGCCGGAAAAAAAGAGAAAAAGTAGGAGAAGGTTTTATGCTCAGTTCGGCTAGTGTGAATTAGGGTCGGATTTGATCTCGGCCGAATTTTTCCCAACAGTCACTGACATTTGTCATTGATATGTCCGGTCGTGCTTCAAGATTTGTTGTAAAATTATTTTTCACCCTTCATGGCCTCAGTTAGATCCTGTTTCAAGCAAAACTAAATTTGAAATTCCAAAAAACAACTTTCTAGTCTGGCTAATCCAAAAATAAAAGAAAAAAAAGTTTTCTTGCGACTCAAAAACATTTTATTTCTCTAAAAAAAAACAATATGTCAAGTAGTCAGTCCGAAGAGTCCGTTTCGGAGAAAGAGGGGCATATACTGCGTCTCCCTGTCGAGGTATTATTATTTTTTAATAAAAAAAAGTTCTTTGCATCTCCTGCATAGAAAACGGCACAAAAATGTTTAAACGCTTTCTCTAACTGTCGCACTTGAAAATTTTGAACTCAAATTTGGCCAAAAGTGTTTCTTTTTCTTTGTTTTTTCTTCTAGTTTTCGACTATTGACCGTTTTTCGTCGCATGTGTGTCCTGCAGAGAGGAACGGGATGGCGGAGTAAAAAACATTTATACCGGTTGTCATTTGTTTATTTTGTTTTATAACAAAAGATAAGCGTTTTAAAAATCGCATTAAGGACGATTTCCAAAGTTGAACAAAAACTAAGTAAAAAAATCCTGTCCCTTCCAGCTGCTTACATACGAGCTGAAGTGTCTCCACAAAACAGTCGTCTGTTTACCTAGACACAGTTCTGCAGAGTAACTAAAAGGACTGATAAGGACAGGACGTCCTAATTCTGGTCAAACCATTGTCATCCTCCTGATCCTCTACTGTCAATACGTCGCCCTCAGAGGATCTATCTCATAGATAGATAGCCTGTGGTCCAGATTGTTGAGAAACGTTGCTCGACCTAGTTGAAGGGTACAATTCCTTGGGACCCTATAGAGTGTGCATAGGAATGCCACTCGAAAAGAGAATCATGTTTGAGCATGGCAGCAAGTATCTAGGTTTCCTGTTCCGATTCTTGGAGGACTTACTACATTTAATAATGATAGTTTTGTGTCCATAGCATGTGTTGAGAGTGAATGAGAATATTGAGTACCCCATTGACCCTAAATTAAGTTAGTTATGTAAAAGGTGTAAAGGGTGATGGATAAATAGCAAATACATCACTCTGAGTGAATGGTATGTAAATAGGAAAGAATGTATTTAAGAGAAATTGAGAGTGTGAATGGGTTTTGATCTAGGCACTGCTTGCGATGGATGCTGAATTGGCTTAGCTATTGACAGCATCTGGAGTCCAACCTCGCTGGCTGGTGGACAATACAAAAGTCTGACCCCAGACTGCTAACACCCTGGGTGAGTGATGCGCAAGGCCTGCTGGTACTTTATTGTAAATTACAAAAGCTGGAATTGTCGGTGAACTGCGAGGAGTGATACGCTCAACACTGTACATGTGTATATGGATGTGCAAATTTGTACTTAAATAAATCAGTAATAAGTAAATATATTTTATAAGGTCTTCCGTCGACCTCATTCTCTTGTTAGACAGATACCACGAGCTGGAGGGTCATGACAAAATGATGGTTGGGTAGGTACTCGGACATATAGGTATGCTGGATAACGAAAAGGGTGGATTAGGAGACTAAGGGGATACTTGGATTGGACAATGGCATTCATTTGTGCAGTTGGTTTAGTTATAGATTATTGATTATTGCTATTTTAATATTGTACTTGATTTTGGTTGTAAGTACATCATTTTATATTATGGTGAATAATAAAAAACTAAAGTATTTCAATAAAGCCGATTGGCTAAGTGGCTGTGCTTACCTTGAATGTATGAATATACTGACTACTTCAGCGAGTTTACTTTCATTGTGCTTTTGTTCAAGAAATACTAAAAACTGGAGCATCTCTGTTAAACGGTGGTTGTTTTCTGGGTACCCCTACATAGGTCTGCAGGGCTAATGATGGGGTGGCTAAGGCCAGGACATCCCAACCTCCCGACCTAACCACCACGATTCCCCAGATGCTGAAAATGCAATAAAAAACATAATTAAAAGATAATGGCAGCATCGGTGGAGGAACTTTCATGTCTCACTGTCAATACGTGGATCTCGGAGGATCTGACTCATAGAAGAATCAATCTCACCCAAATGTTTGTTCTGTTCGTTTGTTCACCCGATTCTGTTTTTTTTTTTTTTTTTTTTTTTTTTCATGTGTGTGTGTAAAGACATTTGCTTTTAAATTAATGTTTTCAGTTCAAATGTCTTAAACATCATAAAATGGAGGCCTCATTGACTGAGTAGTTATGGCATCCTACTAGTATTTGCCAGGCTAGTGTCCTAAGTACTTATCTTGGCACCATGGATTTTTAATTGTGAATAATATGGAGAATGTATTGTAAAGTGGTTTAACCTCTCGTCCATGACACCCAATGGGTAGTTGGACATTAAGCCATCCCTATGACAGGAATTATTTACTTTGGGAACCGCGATGTATGACTGGCTAGGCCATCCGACTCCTATTTGCCATTCCACCCTTTACTTTCATCATAAAATATTTTGAAGAAACACTAGGCAATTAGAAGAAAATTTTCAGTAAATCAACAGTTTAATTTTTAAATATGTTTCTGATTATTTTTATTATATCTATAGTTAGTTACTTATTAACATTGGTGATGGTTGGTCTGTGTTTAAGTGATTTCACATTAAACTGATCACATTGCTGGGTCTATATTTTTGCTATACGTCTGTTCAAATTTTACAGGAACATCGAGACGGTAAATTGATTTTTGTTCCAGATTATTGAAAACATCTTTTTACGCTTAGATGCAGATTTTTTGATGTGGAGTGTGAGATGTGTATGTAAACGATTTTGCTCGATATTAACGGATGAAGTTTTCTGGAAAATGCATTACATTAAAAGAAGAAAAGCGGTCACAAATAGAAATTATAAAAACCCCTACCCAATTCTGGAGAAGTACGGCTTGTATAACAAGAGTTGGAAATCCGGTAGGTAATATGTTATAAATTTGGATAATTAAGTATGTCGTTAAAATTAACACACCCAAGAATAAACTGTATGGTACCAAAAATTCATTTAAAAATTGCAGTTCCAATTTACTTTTGTAAAAAGTTAAACTCAATTCTTGCTTATAGGGTTAGATATACAATGGCGAGATCTTGCTGTACACTTCACAACAGATGTAAAAAAATGGGCGTTTACAAAACGTTTGTCCACGAGAAAATTGACTGTACCCCATGCAGCGTCTGTAGACGCTGTATGCATCCTCAAAGTAAGTAAAAAAAACTTTCTTATCAATATGAGAATTTATATTTGTAGCTGTCATGTATTTTTCTTTCCATCAGACAGAAATAGATCTATTGTTGGTATTTAGAAGATACCAAGTTACTTCCTTAAAACCCTATTAAACTTTAAATAATGTCATTCAACTTTCTGCTGATAAATCCAATCAGGAAATAAATTTGCAAATGCTTTTTGTCTAAATATAGAGTTAGGATAAATTTGCCTTGGTAATATTTCTACAGGGAGCAGAACATTGTATAAGCGGAGGAAGAGATCGTTTATTAGCTGTCTGGGATATAAAAACGTGTAAAAACGTTACCTGCTATGAAAAGGCTCATTCTGGTTGGATTTGGGATATTGATGCGTATGACAATGATCATTTTTTTTCATGTGGCTGGGATTCTAATGTCGTTCAGTGGAGTCTACGTTCGACAGATGTCCAACCAATAGAAATTTACAGGTATTTGTTATCGATTGAACCATAAGGACAGAAATTATTAATTTAGTGAATTTATTAGCTGTATTTAATTATGAGGAACAATGGCTTTTTTTTTTTTTTTTTTTTTTTTTTTTTTTTTTTTTTTTTTTTTTTTTTTTTTTTTTTTTAAAGTTAATGCTATTTTCTTTTGAATCAATTGCAATGAATCTTTACATACTCTATAAGTGCATAATAAATTACTACTTTAATCAGATCTAAGCCAGTGTTCCAAGAAAGTATCCTTGTCTCACTACTTTATATACTTTATACTTCTGACTTCCCTGGGACCGAGTGGTTAGGGTCTGATTTGTATTGTCACGGTCCTGGGTTCGAATCCTGGTTGAGCTCAGGGTTTTTTAATGGATTATGAAAGTAATCACATCACCTAATGATCATCCTCAATAGAAAACCCCTAGCTTTAATTTATTTCAAAAATATTCCAAACATTAGTTAAACCTAAAATAAAGAAATGTACAATATTTAGGTTGTAAAGAGTTTAATAGTTGTCACAATTAAAATTAGTTAAGAAAGAATTTATTTGTGGAAATATTATAACCTTTTCCCATTGAGTTACTAGACAAGTTTTGCTCTTTTTAAAGAAATTTGGGTCCCGGTACCTAGAAAATAAAATCAGCTCATTTTCTAGCTGTTGGCGATTATTGAACTTCCAATTGAGCATGCATTTGTCCATTAAGAACATGCTAAAGTGAGAAGGGGCCAGGAATGGAGAGTACAGAGGTAGTGATGAACTTCCCAACTAAGCTTTTCACCTCCTTTAGCATTCTTACTGTATGATCTCATGTTGAGGAGAAAAATTACACCTTTGCTGTTCATGAGAGCAGGTTGTGTCTAGGCTACAACAAAAGATAGTCATTGGTTTAAGTAGATTTCTGAGGTGATGGTCTGGCCATGATCCAATTTTCTTTCATTGCATATGACATTCCGGTCAAAAAAGTCATTATTTGAAAGTGCGTGAAAGCAATGAAAGGAGACTGTTTAGACGCTGAAGTTTCTTACCATCGGTCAATTTGTGAGGTACCTATTTGATCAGCTTCCACCTCTTCCCAAGTCGATGTAAGCTATATTGAACACTTGGCGAGCTCCTGTCATGTGCGACTCGAGTCAGTTCGATAGCTTCCCTTGATTCGTTGTCATTCAAGACAGGTGTACTAAACCGTGGTTCATTTTCAATCCCTTCATTCCCAGAAGCAAACTTTTTGAACCATTTTTTGGGCAGTGTGCTCACTTACTGTTTCAACACCGAACACAGTTCAGATTGTACAATACCCTAGTACCATGCGATGAAACCATGTGAAAAAATCTTTTATAATTTACAGTGAACTATTCACATACATTTTTGCTTTATGTCCTGATGCAGTATCCTCTTGGTATTATGTGATATAAAACTGCTAATCCTCTTATATAAATATAAAATTTGATTCACAGGATTAAAACAATAAAAAATGAAAAATGTGCAAATGTTTCTGGTTACTCTTTTTATATATATATTTTATTATTGGTTGCAGATAATAAACTGTATGTTTTAGATGTGAAAATCCTGCAATGACTATTGCCTGTAAACAAGGGCTGGTGGCAGCTGGTTTACTCGATGTACCACGTATATTACTGATAGATCCACGGATTCAGGTGATTGATTTTAAATCGAAGGTTCAAGCGCATAGAGGTGCTATCACTGATATATGCATTTATGAAAACACCTTACTTAGTGTAAGTGAAGATAAAACTATGGCTATTTATGACCTACGCATGAAAAAAACAATTAGGGAAAACATAATGGTAAGAGATTGTATGTTGACAAAATAAATATTAAAAACAGATTGTTTTAATACTATTATTATTGTTTTTAGATAGCTGTAGATGAATCATTTCCAAGATCTATCGGTGTAAAACATAATTTAGTTTATGTTGGGGATACACGAGGAAATATTCATGTATTTGATTCGAATGACAATTTTAACCGAGTTCAGGTTTGCTCTTTGTGGTAATACACAAATTAACAGAACCAAACATTCAGTTGATTTCTAGGTAGTTCAGCTTGGATTGGATTGTAAACAGATAACTGCAGTTGTGCCGAGATTAGGATCGTTAATTGTTGGTTCAACAGACAAGACTGTTAGACTTCTTGTTCCTTCAAAACCACATTTTACATACAGAGAGTATAGATTCGGTGGTGAAGTCACATCGGTGAGTTGTTATGGAATGACTGTTAAAATGAAGTATGTAAAACAGCCAGGTTACGAGGGCATATCAAATATAAATGGGACTCATTAAAAAAAAATTCTAACTTAATTTAATTAAGCTTACAAATACATATTACATATTATGTAGCCCTAGAAAAACAATTTTCCCATTGGATTAGGAGTTTTTTTTATTACATCATCATGAAAACTTGAGATGTTCTCATAGTCATTGGTGCGCAAATGCTCCCAACACTTCATCGAAATGCTGGCCTCCAAGTGCTTCTGTGAGGAATCCAAAAAAGTGAGTCACAAGCTGAAAAGTCTGGACTATAAGATGGATGTTCTATTGTTTCCCATTCTTTTGTATCCAATTATCCAATTACTGCCTCGTGACGATAGCCGTATCGATGCCTTGCCATGCTGAAAAATTACACTTCTGGTCGATTGTTTCTTCCTCTTTTTCTTTCGAAACGAATTTTGCAGCATCCAATAATTCACAACAATATTGCACAATTAATTGTGTGTTGATTATGAAGAAAGTCAATATGAAATGCTGCAATCATGTTTGGGCGGTGATTGTGCCTCTTGTTCTCAACATTTTCACGCCCCCCAGTAAATTTTTTGGGTTAAGCAAAGACACGGGTTCTTGACAGGGTCTTATCCCCATACCATGCCTTTAATCGGCCCAAAATTTCGGTTGAATTCACTCTCTCCTTGGTCAAAAACTTGATAATAATCTATTGCTCCACAGAGACACGCCTTCTTTCTCACTCATGGTTTCTATTGATATTAAATGAACCTGGGAGAGTTGTTGTCATTTACACCCTTGTAGGATGTAGCACATTAAAAAAATGGATACCTGGAACTGGAGGAGTTCCCCGTGAGCACTGCAACTCTACAGCCTATTGTACTCCTTCCTGGTTTGTATTGTGGGAGCTTGCAACTAGTGTAAATTGAGCCCCCGGTGTGCCATTTTTCTTCCATCGAAGAAGTTCATGAAGATGATGGGTAGGAAATAAATTGTTTTTCTCACAATAGGCTTTTCCTATTGTGGAAAAGACAATTTATTTCCTACCCCATCATCTTATTGTAGAGTTTCACAAAACAGGATTGGCACCAACAAAAATTAAAAGAAATTCAAGCTCTCAGATGTTCATCGTCAGACGTCTTCATCCAATGAATTGATATACTCACTCCACCTTAAATATTTCCTATAAAGTCTAGCTTCCACTATCGACAATTATTTTAGCAGTTATAAGTTATCTCATCCATTCTTATGTTCATACACGTCAGATGGTTGATGGAGTACTAGATATTTCTCCATAACCCTAATCACAAAGTGAATTTTCCTTGCATGCCTGCTTTTTAGTGAACGTAACCATTCGTGTGTTAAACATGTATGGCATAATCCGAGCTGGGTGAGAACTAATTCACTTTTTTCTGACTCGCCATTAACCAATCATGTCTTTGATTGAGCTTCTCCATTGTTCCAGCTTAACAAAACACACCTTAATTAACATATTCAGTGCGACCTGGTATTTCAGTTTCCCCTGGATGGTAAAAAATTTTTATTCCTAGAAATGTAATGCATCATGACCTACATCCGGCAGGTTGGACTAGTCTGACCTAGCAGGTCACCGGCACTGAATGTGTTTATCATTAGCATTACAATTATGATAATTATTTTGTCAAGGGGTCATTTCAAAATTATAAACATTTTGAAATGTTATTCTTCTCGTTTTAATTGTTTTTTTGTCGTTTTTAGATGGACTGCAAGCAAAATGTGATAGCCGTTGGGGCGACTGACCATTCAGTGACATTACTCAAAGGAGTTCCAGAGACCTGTTATTTGGCTGATAATATCGAGTTATAACTTTTTAATTGTTAATGAAACGCTATCATATTTTATTTTTTTAAATTGAATAACTAATAAATTTTTATAACAAATCATTTATAAATAAAACCTTGTTTTCTGAATGACCTTACTAATTGCTTGTCTATTCCTTTTTCTATCTTTGAAACCTAATTGACATCTTTTAGTATTGATTGTTTTTTATTTTAATTTTATTTTTTTATTATTATTATATACACCTTGTTGTTATGTAAAAAGTCAATAAAAATGAGTATATAATAGAATGTGAGGTTTCTCTGTGTTGTCTGTGGGATGGATGAACCTAATTTGGTCATTGCGGATCATTTTGGTCTACCTGTGCTTATGTTGGTCTCTACGATGATTTTCCACAGTTCATGTTAAGCCTTACAGACTTGATAAAACGCTGAACATTGTCAGACAGACCAAAACAACCAAGTTTTTTTTTGCCAACAAGAGGGAACCCTTTGTACCTGCTGGGGGGGGGGATAATGAGCATCACATTCTTTCATCTTTATGAACGCAAGACAAGACCCAATCATGATTCAGACGTGCGATTTTACATGTTCTAACATCTTCCCCATCCTGCTGAGGAGCAATGTCCTGTCAGGAATTGGGTGATAAAGTAGTCCACTTCTCCAGGTCCTGAACCAGCCGAGCTATCCAAAAATTTGAAATTATTTTTTGTTTTCTTATCTGACTGACACATATTTAATTCACACTGTTTTTTCTATCAATTTTTTTTAAAATACAACTTGAAACTTAAAATTTTGCACCTAGACACTTGAATATGAACTTATTTCATTTGGTCAAAATTCAACTTATCCAGTTTTGCCTCAAGGGTGCACATAGATTTGTGAGATTCCTCGTCTTTAGGTTGATGAACCTGTACTTTTGCCAATCCTCATCCTAGCCTGCCTATCTTAACTGGAAAAGTGCGACAAATACACAAACCCTCAGCAACAATTAATGACATAAATTATTTACGTTAATTATGAAATATTGTTATTAGATGAGACTTTTTTAAATTTTATTCGCCTGGATTGTACACAACAAGGAAGGTGGGTTTAGAGGTGAACAGATTTAGTCGAATTTTAGATTTTTCAACAAATTTTATTCCTCATGTTTTTAGTTAGAAAAAAACTTATACAATACACTGATGACTTTTAAAGATGATGTTTTTAAAATGTTAATTAAAAACCAGAATTAAAACTAGTCAGAACTTTTAAATTGACAAAAGTATTCATTCAAATTACTTCTTTTCTTGAGATATACAAACGTATAAATAGGAAGCATTGCTGTTTATAAAAAATATTTAAAAAATGTGACATGTATAGTCAGAATTATTATAACACTTAAACTTAAAAATTATTTAAGCTTTTGTACTCTAAATTTTCTTAATGAAAAAAATTACAATAAAATTTGAGCAAGATTATAAAGTGAACACTACTTATATATATAAAAAAACTTATAATTTCCAAACTATTCAACTACAATGTTCTTGTAATAGTACTGAGAAAAAGGAAAATATTAACCATTTTTTTCTAATTATGCTTTGCTTTTTTCATATCCTATTTCTTATCAATGTCGCTGAAGACGTCTTCAAACTCAAGTGTACGTTGTTCCTTGACAAAACTGCCCAGATCGCCCCTGAGGGATCTCAAGTTTGGATCGTTGAAGGTCGAAGTCACGACGTGCCGCGCGAATAAGTTTCTGGCAGCTAAACTTTCGTCTCTAGCTTCATTTTTCTCTTCAGTCTCTGACTCTATTTCCATTTCGTCGACTAACATTTTTGAAGAATGTGCTGGAGGGATCTGGACAGTATTCTCGGCGGATGTTTCTGCGGCCTGGGTAGCGTGATGGAGTCCTTTGGGAACCAGCGGGCCCCAGATGCTCTGCCTGTGGGCCGATCTCTTTTTCTTCTTGGTGAGAACTAACTGAGAGAATATTTCAGTCAAGGTGTCCATACTGCCTTGGGAAACGGGTGTGGATCTCGTCTCGGTCGACGTGCTACTTAAATTAAAGTCGTAGACCATTTTACCGTGCATTTCGACGAGGTGGTTCGAAAGATTGACAATCATTACGTTCGGTTCGTTCTGCGGTAGAGTGATACAGACCGGGCATAAAACTGGTGTAGAAACGTCTCTGTGACACTCCAGGGCGTGCTTAACAAGGCTTTTCTCTGCGAAACCCATCTGCCCACATATGGAACAAGTGAAAGAACGTTGGCACGGCGAATATTCACCTCCGTAAAACAGCTCGTAATCCGACTGGGTCAATATGCATTGAAATGGGTGTTTCCTAGAATGAGTTCCTAAGCCCAAGTCGAAGCAGTTCATACAGAGGTCGTAATCTTTACATTTCAAGCACTTGAACCGTTTCCCTCTGAAATTGTACGCGCAACAAAGATCGCAAGATACTCCTTCGTGACGAAACATATTTTCAATAGAAATCACTTCTACTTCAATTAAAACTAAAAATAAAGTTACAACCGTTTCAAGAGAGAAGAGCGAAATAAGATGGCCGACGTAACTGTCGTTTTTCAGCCTAAGAGCCTTGCAGAATGCCTTCTTAATTGTTTTTTAACATTTGCCAGTTGACTCGAGATACTAAATATAAAATACACATATAATTAATTTTATATTAAAATATTGTATTTACATATTTAAGGCGTAAGTTGTTTAAAACATTAGGTAGAGTCTGTCCCCGTGATACCAAATTTAACTTTTTTTATTGAAAATCTGGACTATGAAAAGATCGGAAGCTTGGTATGACGTCTATTGGTGTTTTTGTTTCTGATGACCACAAAATCTTATCCGTAGTATTTGTCTACTAGCGACGCCTGTACATGGGAAATTTGTTTGACGAGACTCTACCTAATGTTTTAAACAATTTATTATTACCTTAAATATGTAAATACAATATTTTAATACAAAATTAATTATATGTGTATTTTATATTTAGTATCTCGAGTCAACTGGCAAATGTTAAAAAACAATTAAGAAGGCATTCTGCAAGGCTCTTAGGCTGAAAAACGACAGTTACGTCGGCCATCTTATTTCGCTCTTCTCTCTTGAAACGGTTGTAACTTTATTTTTAGTTTTAATTGAGGTAGAAGTGATTTCTATTGAAAATATGTTTCGTCACGAAGGAGTATCTTGCGATCTTTGTTGCGCGTACAATTTCAGAGGGAAACGGTTCAAGTGCTTGAAATGTAAAGATTACGACCTCTGTATGAACTGCTTCGACTTGGGCTTAGGAACTCATTCTAGGAAACACCCATTTCAATGCATATTGACCCAGTCGGATTACGAGCTGTTTTACGGAGGTGAATCTTCGCCGTGCCAACGTTCTTTCACTTGTTCCATATGTGGGCAGATGGGTTTCGCAGAGAAAAGCCTTGTTAAGCACGCCCTGGAGTGTCACAGAGACGTTTCTACACCAGTTTTATGCCCGGTCTGTATCACTCTACCGCAGAACGAACCGAACGTAATGATTGTTAATTTTTCGAACCACCTCGTCGAAATGCACGGTAAAATGGTCTACGACTTTAATTTAAGTAGCACGTCGACCGAGACGAGATCCACACCCGTTTCCCAAGGCAGTATGGACACCTTGACTGAAATATTCTCTCAGTTAGTTCTCACCAAGAAGAAAAAGAGATCGGCCCACAGGCAGAGCATCTGGGGCCCGCTGGTTCCCAAAGGACTCCATCACGCTACCCAGGCCGCAGAAACATCCGCCGAGAATACTGTCCAGATCCCTCCAGCACATTCTTCAAAAATGTTAGTCGACGAAATGGAAATAGAGTCAGAGACTGAAGAGAAAAATGAAGCTAGAGACGAAAGTTTAGCTGCCAGAAACTTATTCGCGCGGCACGTCGTGACTTCGACCTTCAACGATCCAAACTTGAGATCCCTCAGGGGCGATCTGGGCAGTTTTGTCAAGGAACAACGTACACTTGAGTTTGAAGACGTCTTCAGCGACATTGATAAGAAATAGGATATGAAAAAAGCAAAGCATAATTAGAAAAAAATGGTTAATATTTTCCTTTTTCTCAGTACTATTACAAGAACATTGTAGTTGAATAGTTTGGAAATTATAAGTTTTTTTATATATATAAGTAGTGTTCACTTTATAATCTTGCTCAAATTTTATTGTAATTTTTTTCATTAAGAAAATTTAGAGTACAAAAGCTTAAATAATTTTTAAGTTTAAGTGTTATAATAATTCTGACTATACATGTCACATTTTTTAAATATTTTTTATAAACAGCAATGCTTCCTATTTATACGTTTGTATATCTCAAGAAAAGAAGTAATTTGAATGAATACTTTTGTCAATTTAAAAGTTCTGACTAGTTTTAATTCTGGTTTTTAATTAACATTTAAAAAAAATCATCTTTAAAAGTCATCAGTGTATTGTATAAGTTTTTTTCTAACTAAAAACATGAGGAATAAAATTTGTTGAAAAATCTAAAATTCGACTAAATCTGTTCACCTCTAAACCCACCTTCCTTGTTGTGTACAATCCAGGCAAATAAAATTAGAAAAAGTCTAATCTAATAACAATATTTCATAATTAACGTAAATAATTTATGTAATTAACTGTTGCTGAGGATTTGTGTATTGGTCGCACGTTTCTAGTTAAGATAGGTAGGCTAAGTTGTGGAACGGATTTACAATGATGATAAATGTGATCTTTTTTAGGTATATTTTATTAAACATTCTTTTAAGCTATTTTCTTACTTACATATTGTTTAATACTTAAGCAATTTTTCCTTTGTTTTCTTATTTTCGCTTATATATTATTATATCGTCTGTTTTTATATTTAAACATTTTTTGTAAATTGGATTAATTACATAAAATATATTTTATTATTTTTATGAATATAAAAACAACTGGGATCGCTTAACACTCTTCATGGTGGAGTGGTACCTAATCTAATGGGATCTAGGGCTAGTCCTCGATGCAGAACTTGGTGATGATGACAACGAATATCTAGGAAGTTGGGCTTTTTGTCCCCCTAAACATTGTGTAGTTTTTAAATGTTATGACAACGACAGGTTTGCATTTTCTCTTAAACTTGTAGAGCTTAAAAAATATGACAGTAATAGTTTGTATTAAACATGTAAAGTGTGTAAAATAAATATGACAGAAATATTTTGTATTAAACATGTAAAGAGTTAACCGCCCTTATATAAATAAATAAAAAGCAAATTCTGAACACCAGTAATATTATTTTATTTTATATATATATTTTAAAGGCATTGTTGTATATTTGTATTTTTTTAAACATTGCATAACAGTAATATTAGCTATTAAACATGTAACGAGTACAAAAAAAAACCAGTAATATTTTTTATCACACTTTTTAGGTGTTAACTCCCTTTATATAAAGAAATAAATAGCAAATTTTTTACACCAGTAATGTTATTCGATTTTATATATATATATAACCACGAGTTTTCCAGATAGTTGCTAGGGAACAACCACCCGAAAATTCCATAGATGAATCCTTTAACCTAACCAAATCTGAAGAGGTAATTTTTTACAACTTCAGATAATGAATTTACAATCAATGGGGAACGAGTTGCCATATTTTCTAGAACCTGCAACAAATGCAAGGATCATGATCGACACAGGCAGTACCAGTTCCTTTATAAATTTTTTTTTAGGTTTTGAATATTTTAAAAACAAAATTATAAATGACCCATTTGAAGTCACCACCCTGCACATGGTACTGCAAATGAAAAGTTTAAAATGATCAATTCTTAACAGCAAAAGAAAGTTCAAATTTTTCCTATTCAATTTTCACGATCAATTTGATTTGCTGTTGGGATTATATAACATAAAGTTATTAAATATTCAATTAGATTTTGTTAACGACAAATTATACTACAAAGGAAAGTGTATTCCTATCTTATAACAAAATTTGGGTCATAAAGCAGGAACACCGGTGGGAACTCAAACATCTAATTATACTGTCGATGCAAGAAGTGAAAAAACCATCAAATTAAAAATATGGAAAATAGTGAGGGCATATTGTGATATCACAATATATCTGGGGTAGAAATCCCTCAATGTGTAATAAAAGTAGAAAACAATGAAGCGTTGTGTAAGGTACTGAATCCAATGGAAATGAATATAACTCGTAATAGATAAGCCATTTATACATAGTTTTTCAAGTGCAATGATCTGAACTTGTGTTAATTGTGATATTTTGTGTGTTAATGTTTGACAAATACAACAGGGTTGTTTCTCTTTGATTAGCGGTTTTTGTATTAATTTTTTTACACTATAAAAAATTGTTATAAGGCTGTGATATATGTTAGGCAATTTGTATCTTGTTGAGGCTATTCAAATACACAAATGCGTATCTAATGAAAAGAATGACACATATATACTGTCAATAAATATATAGAAAAAGTATCAGGTGTGCCTCAGGGCAATTGTTTAAGCCCATATCTTTTTGTCATCTATGCAAATGAGTCGGAGGTAGTGCTGAAGAGTTGTGAATACTTCATGTTGTACTGCAGCATACCTAGACTAAAGAATGTAGCACTTTATGTATTTCTTAATCAACTTAAAATAATTTCATATGTAATCAATCCGTTTTAAGCATAAATAATAAATAACTTCAGTTGGACGTTCGCAAACGTCACACCTGAACTAAACAACTCGACGTCGCCAATTTTGTTCCGTCGTACGAAGAAATACGCGGAAATCGAAGAAGGTCGAGGTTGGTGTCGTTGTTTGTCTAATTAAATCAAACGCAACATTTGTTTTCCACCCAATTGGCGGTTTGTTGTGTTTATACTGGGAGTTTGAACATCACGCCACTGCTAAACTGGTACGGCAGACGTCATATGACAGCGGGGTCAGCTGTCAGGTGATTTCGCCCCCAGTAATACTCGCCATCGTTTGACACTTACGTACCTCCACTTACATATTCTGTTCTATCCACTCTAGACTCAAAGGAACCTGACTGTTTTTTGTGTATTTATCTCGTCTCAATTTAGATAAATTTAAAGGTGAGTCGAAATTTGAATTTCAAAGCGCATAAATTACAAATCGCGTTCAGCACATTTGTATACAATGGGATCTGACTCATTTTACCGGCTGAATTTAATTGTAGTTAGAATTGTTTGTTTATATTTTCCTTTTCTGTCATTTTTTTTGTCATTTGTTTGACATGTTTTCACTTCGTTATATATTCGTACACAAACCTATACAAACAACCTATGACCTATGACAATTGTACATTTTTTTATTTGTAGACCAAACATATTACATGTTTAGTTGTATTATTATTAGTATTATTATTAGTTGTTAGTATTTGTGATCACAACGATCTATTAGTGTTCTCGCACACTAACACCCAGCATCAACAATGATTTATATGTTTATAACAACCAATAGAATATTATCTGCATAAGTTTGTCGATAAAACAAAACACATTTGTTTATGTATATTTATTTAATATGCTTTTTTTCCCCATGCACTAAAACTAATGCCAGCGCTGCACCTGAAGCCATGCCATGAAAAATCAGCCAGTGCTGGCACTTAGTATGAGGGATTAAGAAGGTCTTGAAGCCATTGTCGATGATTAAAGCGACATGGCATGGCATGAGGGCTCGGGCAGTAGGTCTAAACCTACGATCGAGAGGTTGGTGTGAAACTTTTGGAATCAGAAACGTATCAGTTCGTTGACAAAACGACTTGAGGTCGTTGTTGATAGTGAGAAAGGAGCTTTGACGACTTGTCGGAGGTCTTTTGATTGGAAGGATGTGCTGGATGTTGGACGGCTTGGCAGAACCCCACAGTTCCGCCCCTGTGCAAAGTGTTCGCAGTTACGTCTTGTATAAGGTTAGTTTAGTTTTGACATACAAGGCAGATTTCAGTTCTAGAAGTCTTCATAGTTGTCCACATCTTCTGTTAAATTGTTGTTTCTCTTGAGTCTTGTGTGGGGATTCCACGTCTGCCGTATAGTCATAAATACCTACTTGAGTGGAAGTCATTAGCGTCTTGTTGCTAAATATATAAGATATTTGTTTATCATATTTTTGATTTGTAGACTATACATATAGTATTTAGTGACTGGGAGTTTTTGGTGGACCTGAAAAGGGCTGGTGTTGTTTGAAAGCGTAGCGTTGAGATGATGTATCGAGGCCAGGAATGAGTGTGTGTGCCTGTTGATAGAGAGAGTAGTTGGCTGAGGTCCAGGGCTATGAGTCAGCTGATTCTACCTCGGTTGAAGGGACTCTGGTGCAGCAGTTGGCCGAGTGCAGTGGTTTGCATGTAGTCTAAGTCGGCTATGTTGAGAAGGCGAGTTTGAGGCTAACGCTGAGAGTACCCTTCCATCGTCGTAGGTGCTTCAGTAGTGATAAGCGAAAACTTGTTGGGTTGACGATTCTGCTGTTGTTGATTAGTGATTGGTGAGAACTCATCGGGTAGATGAGTCTTGAGGTGTGAGTGAGACCTCATCGGGTTAACGAACATTGTTAGTGCTCCTGTTTATTTACGAACTGGCTCTGCTCTGGTTTGCTACAGAGTGGAGGGCGAGACCATTCCAGAAACGGTAGTGACACAAATTACCACTACAAGCACAAATTACAAATGTGATCACAATGTTTTTGAACATGGCCACACATTAAGGCCAGTGGTGCACTCGAAGAACATATGTCATAAGAAACTAGCCAATGCTGGCACTCATTGCAGGGTATTTAAGTCTTGGATTTGAAAATTTGAGTCTTCTTGATTCAGGATACGAGGTCGCTGTCAAAAATCAAAAATCCCGTCCAGTTGGATGGGACATGCCTCTGGCCGGATATCATTGTTACCAGCGAGAGTATTTGTCCTAGACCTCAACTATGAGCACATTAGATAGGGTGGTGGACCTCACAAAAATGTGAGGTATTGCGGGAAGCCATGAGAAACCAGCCAATGCTGGCACTTAGTGTGAGAGATTTAAGGGACGAGGAGGCCATCTTCGATTAGGGATTGGGATAGGCATAAAAGAGACCTTCACAAGGCCTTCTGCACCTCAACCTGAGTAAATGTATTGTGCTCCTCTGTTTTTTTTTATAACTCACTGCTGGCTTCAGGTTGTTAATCAACCTCTATAGCCTTGCTAGTGGCTCCTTAGTGTAGGATCTTGCTTGCTGCTTTTCCTCTCCTAGTTGCAAGAATCTACACCTACATAGACCCTCACATAAACTGTGTTCTTCTTCCTCGTAGTATCTGCACAGTGTTTCTTCTGTCTGTACTCCTATCTGGTGTATGTGCCTTCTTAGGCGTCAGGAGTCCAACTAAAATCCTGGTTAAGTTGTGGTTACCCCTCCAGTAATTCCTTCGTAAGCTTTGTGTATGGCCCTTCAATGGTTCTTTTCGCTTCCCTCATGCCTGGAGTATTGTTCCACCAGGTTTTGGACTCATTGAGGATCCATTTTTGGATGCATCCTTTTTTTGTGGCACAGTGCTAGGCCACAGTAGGCTTCAGGACCTGAGATTGTAAACGAATATAAATATTTAGAAGTCATAATTACCCCGAGACTCTCTTGGGCAAAGCACTTCTCTTGGAAAGCGTCAGTGGCTAAATTAGGTCTAAATAACACATGGTCAACCTTCCTACTCAAAGAAACTATCCCTATTAAAGTCAAGTATAATATTTTTAAGGCGATAAGTCGTGCAATTCTGTGCTATGGCTGTCAAATGTGGGGATACCAGAGGTTTGAGACAATAGAAAAAGTGCAACGTTTTTTTTGTAAGAAAGTTGTTCACATTGCCATCTGGTACACCAAACTATATATTATATTTAGAGACCAACTTGGATTTAATTTTGGTGTATACACTTAAGCTTCACTACTTATGTTTGTAATAGAATATTGTGAAAGTTCTGATGTCTCTCGATACTATATACACAAAAATAACATCGTTGGCGGTCATAAAGACTAATATTTCATGGTTCGCTCACTGGAAATATTTGTTTGAAAAGTACAACTTGCCCTTCCTCATATCCTTAGACAACCTCTATGACTGGCATAATCATTTTTCAATTCTTATTAATCAAATTAAAAAACAACATCATGAAGAATGCCGGTCACGTGTCCAAGCATCTACGCATCTCACACTTTACAAGGAGGTACAAATTTCTCCTGCATTGTTCGACCTACATGAAGATAATTTTGACGGTCTATGTCTCAATGAGTTGAGATGGCTATTTAAGCAAAGAAGTGAGGTTTTGCACTTAAACTCGGCTGTTTGGATCAGAGGGGAATTGGGAATCTGTTCTTTGTGTAATTCGCACTCTATTGAAACTGTATCCCACTTCTTGGCGGAGTGCTCATCCCAGAGTTGATCTGTTACGGTTTTTGAGTGGCTCAAATTCGCGGCCCTTAATTCGTTACACTAGGCATGCATGGAACTACAGATATGAATTAATTAATGAGTTTAATTTTTGATTTCTATTGTACAATCTGTTTTTCTGTTCTCTTTCACATTTTGGCAGTTGTTTCTCCTTTTTTTCCTTTTTATTGCGTAGGCTATCACTTTTATTTTATTTGGATTGTTTAATCAACGACCTCTGGCAGACGGATCCAAGATCCATGGCCTTAAATGCTTTGATATCTAAATTGTCTTTTTTCCTTTTTTTTAATGTTTAATAAAGCATTATTATTATTATTATTATTAGGCTTCAGGGCCTAGAGAATTCATATTGGCTCTTTTTTTGGCTAACAGGTCCACTTTTTCATTGCCTCCATGTTCCTAATACCCAGGGACTCAAGTCAGGTTCAGGTCATTGATGTCACTGACTTCTGCCAGGAATTCATACAATTCCATTCACTTTTTGCCTTTACCTTGCATGAGGCTAAGGCCAAGGCCAGTGCCATCTGACTGTCAGAGAAAATGACTATCTACCTGGAATGTGTTCCTAGCCTTTTAATTTTCTGGTGCAGTTGCTATGATTTCAAATGGGTTCTCGGGATGGGAATGTGTAGAGAGGGTTCGAGCATTAGGTCTAAACCTACGATCGAGAGGTTAGTGTAAAACATTTGGAATCGGAAACGGATTAGTTCATTGACAAAAGGAATGTTGAGGTAATTGTGGACAGTGAAGTTAGTGTTGGCAATTTGTCTGATGGCCTTTGATTAGTAGGATGCACTTGGCTTGGCAGAACCCCACAGTTACACTCTGCAAGTGCAAAGTAATCATAGTTAAGTCTTGTATAAGGTTAGTTTAATTTTGACGGTCAAGACGATTCAATCCCAGAACTCTTTGTAGTTGTCCAAATCTCATGTTAACTTGTTGCCTCTTAAGACTTGTGTTCCATGTCTACTGTCTAGGTGTAGTCCTAAATCCTAAGTCCTAAGTATTTGACTTGAATGAAACCGTTTTTTCAATGTGAACATACAATGAGTACATTTGTCTTCATTCAGTCTTGTCAATTTAGATAAATAGGTTCATTGAGTTCTTTTTTGGTTGACTTCTAAAAAAAACCACGGCAGTTGTGTTTTAATGAAAATTTTCTTTAGTGTTGTAAGAAATAACTGAGGAAGAAATGGCGCCGATTATGTCGGTAATTAAAAATATAATAAATCATCCCGGTGAATCTTTGAAAAAAGTCAAAATGATAATAATGACAACAAATTTAAAAATTGGAAACCAAAAAGGAGCATTGTTTTACATCACCAAGAATCCAGAAAGTCCAGCTAAAGAATTTAAAACAACCACACAGAAGGAATCATCTCAGAAAACCACGGATAACAATCAAATGAATATATCAGAAGAACCGAAATTTGCAAAAGAAAATGAACGATGGTTAAGCCACCTGTATTACAACCTGGATATTCCACAACTATTTGAAGATATTAAACAAAAAATGTCATATAATAAATCTACACCCGAAGTTAAAGTCCCTGCTTGGAAAACAACACGCCGCCAAATAACACAGGTAAAATTATTAATTGTCGTTAGTAATTTGTTAAATTGCTCTTCTAAGAGTTAAATACTTTTTTAGGAGAAGATCAATAGTGAAACATCATATTTACTATCACTTCTTATTAAATCTGAAAGCGCAGGGAGTCGGTTGAAACGACTTGAAAATTTTCTAAGTCATTTGATCACTTATCCAGAAGCCAAAGAATATGCTGTGGAGGTAATGACACTTTATACTGTGTAGAGATTAGTGACTGTTAATCGATAGTTATTCAGATATCGTGAGACCCGACTGCATCTCACGATATCTGAATAACACTTTATACTTTTAAGTTTACCTATAAATACAATTATGCTTAATTTTCTAGGAAGGCGTCATCCCTTCATTGTTAGAATTTCAAAAATTGTCTCGTGATGCAAGCACTACTCACATTGTAAGACAGATACTCGTTACTCTCGGTTATGTGGAACCGCCAAAATCCTATGGTGTAAGGTTACTTTCAATTGATGGTGGTGGAATGAGGTAATTAGACTTATAAAACATATTTATGGTCGGATTTTTAATATTTTTTATAGCAATATAATGATAACTCACATCACAGTGACCTTTCAATGTAATGCTATAACGCCAAATATAATATAATACATTTCTTATAATATATTCGATTGAATGATACAGTATTTCTTTTTATAATAATTTTTTACTTCATGTTAAATTCTATGTTTATCTGTCAGATGAATAAGTAATTTGGTCATTATTGATTCGCCTGTCAGCTCAAACCAGCAAATAGGCAGACCAAAATGATCGGTAACGATCAAATTAGAGTTCATCACCTTGCAGACCACATAGAGAAACGTCACAATATAACCTTTCTCTGAAACCAAATTTATGAACTTAATAGAATAAACCTAATTTCAAATTTATAATTATTTTTAAATCAAAACATTGTTCAGTGTTCAAGGCTGATGCAGGCATCCGTCAGGGTAGCATTACTGCTGATTCCCATCCCAATATCAATATCCTAATACTGATGACACTACCATTTTATCCTCAAATTCTGACCCTGTTGCTCACCCTCTAGATACCTATATTTCCTAAAAAAAGACTCTAGACAACCGGCTGACCTGAAATTCCCACGCAAAACTTAAAAAACAGAATAGAACTGATGATACCAGTTATTTAAAAAACTACTAGACAACAGATTAATGCTATGTATAGCACAATACTCAAACCAATGGACATAACAGCATAGAACTACAAGGTTCAACCAAACACCTTCACATTCACAAATCCTTCATTTTATGTTTCCAAAATTCAAACTGCACCATCCATCCCTTTATAAAAGTAGTTGCAAGATCCAGGTACAAAAAAATTCCACTCTAACTTCCAATCTCAGTCTAATCCTCATGCACAAGAACTTTTCTTCCCAATAATCCTTTTGAAGTCTAAAAAAAACAGGGCCCTGAGACCTGCTCTGAGGGTGTATAAATTTATAATTAATCAATGATTTAGGAGTGTTTCTCCACTTAATTTATTATTATTTTATCTCTATGTGATCTGTGGAACTTTTCTGTTATTTATTATCCAATTCCTCAATAATAATAATAATAATAAAAAAAAATTATATTATGTATTCATGTCATGGCTAATTGGAAATCATTATGTTAATTTAGTATTCAAAACAAGCTGATCAAATTAAGTTATCCTTTTATAAAAATAAGCAAAGTATTTAATAAAACTTGAAATTTGTCTCTTAAGTTGTTAATACAGCATAGTAATGATTGTTTAGGGGCATTGCTGTCATTAATATGCTTGAGAAATTAGAAGAACTGTCAGGGAGAAAAATTTTAGAGTTGTTTGATTTTGTATGTGGAGTCAGCACTGGTGCCATTATCATATGCTGCCTACGTGAGTCTGAAGATGTTAGCGAGTAGTTTCAATATTTAATATTGTCTTTTATGCTGTAGTTCCCCCACACGAGATGTCTTTAAGTGAAATAAAAGATCTGTATAGGAATTTAAGTGCACAAGTATTTACTCAGAGCACTTTGAGAGGGACTAGCAATCTAGTCTGGAGCCACGGCTATTACGATACGGCTGCATGGGAAAAACTTCTGAAGTGTTACGTTGGAGAGACTAAATTACTAGATTCTGCTAAACATGAAATTTGTCCAAAGGTAAATTGATAATAAGAAAAAATTAATTTATTTGCTTGTTTATTACTAGTAAATAATGGTAGTGATTTGTGAATATTTAATTACATGGCATAATCAAAAGCTTGAGATTTAAAGTCAGACATTTAAATATTTATTTACTTTTTTTAGGCTGCTACAATTTCCACAATTATAAACAAGTCGAAAGTTGCACCTTACATTTTTAGAAACTACGATTATCCATATAATAGAAAATCAGAATATGCTGGAAGTATTAATCATACTATGTTTCAAGCTGTGAGGGCGTCAGCAGCTGCACCTACAATTTTCGAAGAGTTTAGAATTGGTGACATACTTCATCAGGTAATTTTTTTCCCCAGTTGGCTAGCTGCCATGGCTTCACACATGGTGAAAAGGCACTGTAACTCATGTACACTCGTAGGTATATACATATATTGTGGCCTAACCTAAGTTTGATGCATCTGAGGGTATTGGATATTCTCCTGAGGATCCACCATAATTCACTCTCGTAAATACATTCACACTGACTACAATACTTTTATACTATAGGTTTGCTCCAACATGCAAGTACCAACCAGTTGCCAACTAATCCATGATTTATGATTGCACCTGACCGAACTTTGATTGATCACAAATTCTTAACTCTGATAGAATGTTTTTTTCCGATCTCTGACTTGTGCTGAAATTTGTCCATCAAAAACCTTAAACTCATTCAGTCAATTGTCTCTCCTCTACTAATTATTATATGCAGCAAAATGCAATATACAAAAATGGTTGAATGTAAATCACTGAGAGGCAAATAAAGTGACCATCCTTAATGTTTTCAATTATCTCTTAGAATCCTCCATTGGTTATCGTACAACAATATTTAGTTCGTTTTAAAAGATTTGAGGCAAATAAAACATATAAAATCTCCCCCTCTTGTGTTTACAATTGGATTTTGTAAATTAATCTTTGAAAAGTCAGCCTCTTCTTTGTTGGTTTTTCTGTAAAGTTTCTTTCTAACGTTATTTTGACAGTCAAAAACCAGTCACACACCTAGCTTGAAAATGAGTTGGAATGGGCAACTGACAATTTGAGTTTGGGTTTGTAGTGTGATGATATCAAAACTCAACTGTGCATGCACCGATTTGCTGGCGGTTTGGACACATGATGTGAGGAGTTTTACGCCCACATCACTAAAAATGTATGTATATAAAACTAGCTTAAGTTGGTGGCTCGGTGAGGTACTGTATATTTCGCCACAAACCTCCCTGCACATACATAAACATTTGATCTAATAAATACATTCATACAATATGCATAGATAAAATTTGTGGAGTTACTGGGGTATTTGGTATTACATCAATGCCTCCCCCTTTTCACTCTAATCATAATTACCCTAAAAAACTAGCCTAATTGGTGGATCTGGGGGTACTCTATATTCTGCCACAAGCCTACCCACACACATTCACTTAACCAATTATGCTAATAAATACATTCATTCAGAATAGTAAAATGTCTAACCTAGTTTGGTGGTTCTGTGGGGTATTCTGTATTCCACCACATGCCCACCTATTTACTCAAACACTTTTGCTAATAAATACATTCATTCAGAATGGTAAAATGTCTAACCTAGTTTGGTGGTTCTGTGGGGTATTCTGTATTCCACCACATGCCCACCTATTTACTCAAACACTTTTGCTAATAAATACGTTCACTCAGAATGGTAAAATGTCTAACCTAGTTTGGTGGTTCTGTGTGGTATTGTGTATTCCACCACATGCCCACCTATTTTCTCAAACACTTTTGCTAATAAATACATTCATTTTAGCAGAGGAAAACCATGTATGGAAAACTATCAAGTGCGGCCATATGTATTTATCCGCTTCAGATATCCAATCATATTTTCACTGCCATCACTGCTGTGTCTTAGCATGTCGTTGAGATTCATGGCCAAGCCACACCTTTTTCTGTGCGGTGCCAATTGGTCGCCCTCTACCAATAAGTGTGGAGATGCCTTGTCTGGTGTGGCCAATTCGTAGTCTGTTCATCACAATCTTTTGTTTTTTCCATGCTCTCCTTGGCACATGTTTTGACCGCTTTTAATTTGTCGGTCATTACAACCCAGCGATTTTGTCAATCTTCCCAACATAAATTATTTAAATAATTTTTTGCATATGCTGGGCAAAAGGGTCTCACAGCTCAGTTAGCTTTCGCATTGACTCCTGTGTTGATGTGTCCCAGAATTCAGGCAATAACGATTTCTTCTTTTCATTCTTTATTTCATCAATTTTCTTTCATATTACCTGGATTTGTGGATACATGGAGAATATATTATGGATGGTTAAGGTTGCGATAAGCGAGTCCGTGCAGATAACATATTGATTGTGACTGATTTGCCAAATCTCTCTCAGTGATTTCTTCTTATTCTAAATATTTCAATTCAAATTTAAATTTAAGCTTTATTGCCAAGGTCCATTAAGCATACATAATTGAGTATTTTTGTAGGATGGAGGAATGATAGTGAACAACCCAGCGGCAGTAGCTGTTCACGAAGTAAGAACACTTTGGCCCGATGAATCACTCAGTTGCGTTGTGTCTTGTGGGACTGGTAAACTTTTACCGACAATGTTTCAAGATGAGATTAGTGCTGATGCTAAACAGACTAGCTCTTCATGGAAGACAATCTTCAACAAAATTTTAGAAAGCGCTACAGACACAGAAGGTAAATATTCTTTGGACCTCATAGGATAGACGATAAAGACAAATGTATAAATTTTTTATCTTGATACAATCTGCATTCCATGATATTTTGATGCAGCTGACAGAACACATATTTTGAACATCCTATGGGTGTTATAGTCAACTAAAGCCCAAAAAACTCACTACTTTGATGCATTGACTATGGTTGTTGGCTATATGTCCCATACCCTCCTTCTTTCTATAGCCAGAATGACAAAGGAAATGATAATGAAGCTTAGTTTAAAATTACACCGTCGGTACTCTTCGGTCCTATTCCCATCTGACGTTCACTTTTTCGGAGAATTATGTGCATTCAGGAGTTTGATGATTTCCAACAGCTGTAAAATGGGCTAAGTTTATTTTTTAAGTCCTGGGATTCAAACTGATAAGAAGGGTATAACTTGGTCTGTAACTCAGGAGAAGGTTCTAGGTACCGATGGAGACTATTTCAATGTATAAAATTTCTAAACCAATTTTAATTGTAAAAATTATTAAATAAACCCTTTAATCTCGGACTTTTCTGGTTACCTGGTAGCTGCAGTAAAGTGCGCCCAGAAAACAGAAATTTTCTGATTAAAAGTAAAATTTTGTACTGATATTTGTTAATTATCCTTTTCTCAGTGTTTTAGTTTATATATTTATCTATAAAAAATTAATTTTTTCAGATTTATTTACTTATTAAAAGCAAAACATTAAAAAAAAAAAAAAAAAAAAAAATACCAGGGAGCTAATAAAAATTTTTCTTTCAATTAAAATTAAATTTTCTCCTTTTGTTTTGATTTTTTTCCAGCTGTTCATAACATGTTGAATGATTTACTCCCTGAAGACGTATACTACAGAATTAACCCTCATCTATCCAGGAAAGTGACAATGGATGATGTCCACGAGACAACGATTTCGTTACTAGAAGCAGATACGGAAATGTATTACAGAAGGAATAAAGAGAAATTTCAAGAGATTGTCAAGAAGCTTCTCTTACCTAGATCTAAAGTTCAACTTTGTCAAGATTATGTGATGACAAAGCTTAGAGAAATAAAGCATTGATTTTTTTTCTTCGCTTTTTTTTTTTTTTTTTTTAATAACAGAACAAAGGAAATTGTGATATTAGGTTAATTTATTTTATGTGTTGTATTGTTAATGCATATTCATTATCATTTTATATATAACTAATGTGATTTGTGAAGTTACCTGATTTTACATGTTTTTAGTTACATCCTAAAGTTATGTATCGGGTTGTCCGGAAAATAATGCAGGATTTTAAGTTTTCATTAAAAAAAATCTATATAAAATATTCTGTTTNTGGGAAATTATTTTGATTAAAGAACATTGCTTTAAAGTAACTAGTTTCTTTTTTTTTGTTTAATACCAAAATCCTGCATTATTTTCCGGACAACCCAATACGAATAAATTATTTTTTATATTGCCAGTTTTTCTTTCTTTCTTAGATTCTAATTCCTTGCATATTTTATTTGAGGTCTATGAGGTGAGTTAGGTTGGTCGGTTCATATAATCTAAACAAACCCACCTCTGAAGATGGCACAGGATGATCGGAAATGGCCAAACTAATAATATGAAAAATTTTTGATTTACAACTGTCTAAAGATTTTGTATTATTTGCAGTAATTTGCTGAATTTAATCTGGAGTAAAGAGAGAAAAACTAATATAAAGAAATTTGAGAGATTCTATTCACCTGTCACTTTATCCTAAAATCTAATATGTCCGATAGGTACTTTCAAGTATGAACGAGGACATCCTTCTCACACATTTATTTTGCCAAAGCAGGTGTTCCACAAGGCAGCATCCTAGGTCCCATTCTCTTCTCAGTATACATTGCAGACATTTCTATAAATTTTGATAGGAATCCATATATATACAGATGATATCGCCATGCTTAGTTATTTCTCCATTGAGCCATTGCTTTGCTTTCAAAGATTACATAGGTGGCTGTTTCTTCCTCCATATTGCATAACCTACAAATGGATCATCATTGATTATGCCCATGTTGTGTATGTTTTATCAGATGTCAGTGACTGGTAGTCCTACCACTCCTTTGATTTTAGCCCTCTCTGACTGTACCAGTGAGTTTACCTTTACCGGCCTTGGTGAGGGTTGTTTTAGTATAACCTGTAGTAGAAATGATGAATGGTGGAGTGAGTGCGGTGTTCAATCTTTTTAAAAAGGATTTGACCTTACTGTGTCTTCCATAAAGAAACGGAGGAATTAAACTTAATGAAATCAAATCACAGCAATAATACCATCTCTTCTCCAATCTACTGCAACCCTGTTCCTCTCCTGGCAACCAATGTCATCCGCTATTTTACTATTTGACAAAATACTTGGAGCTCCCAAATTTGACTCAAAAGAATACAATTAAACAGACAATATAAACTGATCGAAACTCTCACTCGAAAACAAATGCCTCATTGACATATTTCTAACCAATCTGAACATAAGAATTAAACTGTAGGGTTCAAGCAAGCGTTCCATCGTACAAAGAATCCAGTCACTCCAGACAAAAATCCTTGCGTCTATTATCCAAGTTTCTTACTTCATATCCAACCTTACTATCCACACAGAACAACAAATCCCATTTGTTCTTGAAACTGGCAGAAGTCGGTACAGACGCCTCCATAAAACCCTTGAACCTTATCCCAACTATTTAGCCCCTGTTTGATTTAATTTATCCCTTATAAATGTAAAATAAAGAAATGGACGATCAACCTTTTAAGCATATAATTCCTGAACAGGATGGTTTTGTCAAACGGTACTCTAATTCAACTAAATTGCTTCTTTAGATTGATTTTATTAATAAAAATCTCAAATTGGACTACAGAGTTCATGATATTTACACTGACATATCCAAGGCTTTCAACAAGGTTAACTTTCATATTCTTCTCAGGAAGCTTAAGCTGTAGGTGACCATCTTCTTTCTTGGCTCGACTCCTATTAGACTGGAAGTTCTTACAGGATTGTGTATAACAGTTCCATCTCATTTTCATATCAAATTCTGTCCGGAGTCTCTCAGGGCTCACCTTAGGCCGATACTTTTTTATTATTTTTCAACAATGTTTCATCGATTTTTTGTTTTTCTTCATTCTCTCTTTTAGGTGATGACCAAGTTATTTTCCAATATTTCTTCTATTTCGGATTGTGAATTACTTCAATTATATTTAAATGCTTTAATTTGTGTGTCAATCCATCAAAATGCAAATGCATTAAATGTATTGTATCTTCTAACCTGAAGGATTGTAGTTCTTGGTCGTATTACATTGCATTTTCCAATTTTTTACCTATTAAGAACTTTGGAGTACATTTTTTATACCATACCTCCAACAAGGAAAAGTGGGTTTAAATGTTTCAGGAGATGACAGGATCAAAATGGAGCAGCTGTTGAAGGTGAAGATATCATGGGTGTAAATTGCATAGAGGAAAAGACCTAGGACCCTACCTCGGGGTACACTACCTAGGGTTAACTGGGAAGATGGGAGAGTGTGCATGGCCTTCGCAAACCTGAAAATATTTATTGGAATGATAGGGTTTGAGGATATCTATATTAGCCACAATAGCTTCTCTTCCAAAGCTTGGAAAAATTCTCTCCTAAATGATACCCAAAAACAATAATGCCAAAGATGGCCCAAACAGCTACAATCAAATACATATAAAATAATACAATTTGGAAGACATTTTGATGTCTGTGTGGTGGTGAATTCGTTGTAGCTTGGCCTATCCTCATATTGGTTAGCCTATACTTGCTGTTTTCATCTATCAGACTTGTTTTGGCTTTTCAACACTGACGAAAGTTGCAATGAGTCTGACGGATGGAAACAGTCATTAGCAGACCGAGCTACATAATCCGTTTTGCCCACAAGTTTTTGTGTTTTTCCAGAAGTTGGAGATGTGTTAGGCATTTCCAGACCAGTTTTGAATTGAAGGTGGAGGGGTTTAATGCCTTCAGTGCTGCTTGGCTATCTGAGATCATGCACCTTTTAAAAGTATTTCTTGGGCACAGAGTTTTATTGGATCTCAGCTTGGAAAATTGATTGTGTGGGGCCTAAAGGTCTCGCTAGGTCGCAATTTAGGACTCCTGCCCCCTTGCTAAGTTCCATTTTAGACTATAATAAGGTGGCTATAGTTACAGGGTTTTTATTCTTCCAAATTTTGTTATTTTTATTTGGAAGGGTTTCCGAGAGATAAAACAATAGTTTTAGTCAAAAAAATTCACCTTTTAATCTTTATCTGTTGGATGAGGTCAATTAATTCTATTAGGACAGGATTAGGGGTTCTTTCAAAGAGGAAACTATGGGTGAGCCGGGAGTGGCCAATTCTAAGCCGGGTTAGAAAGGTGTCTCATTTTCGGGAAGGTCTGGAAGGCGATTCCCATTTTTTTACACCTTTTTTATTGCGAAGAGTCTGCAGTCAATCCATTCGCGCTTCCAAGCATCCCAGACGAGCTGCCTAGTGACAGCAGAGGTCATTAAAGGGAACTCCATTCCCTTTTAAATGAAAAAATGCGGTTTCAAAGGGTTCCACAGTAGATTTAGGTCGCACCGGACGAAAGGATTTTTAAAATCCTTATTCAACTTATTTAACCCCCTAAACCTAAAAAAGTTGAAATATGAATTTCAAAATACTAAAATTTAAAAAGGGGTGGTAGGCCAGTTAATATTATTTGCATTTCTGCAACGTTTCAGCAATTTTTGCGTCATATTAATGCAGATGTTTATGTATAAATAATACACTAGCTGGGGGCGTCGGTGACTGCAACGGTTTAGGCGTTGACATGGCGCTCATCACTGTAAGGTAAAGGTCCCGGGTTCGAATTCACAAATGGGATTTTTTTTTCGAAAACACCGGCACCCCGAGGGTTGAAAAAAAATACACTAGATAGTAGACATTCAAGTTAACTAAAATTAAACATAATTTTAAAAAGAGAGATTGGCCGTGAAAAAAATGTATTTTCCAAGTCCATTGATGGATTCATAGTTATTTTATGCTGCTGACCATATTGGAAGATGAAAGTATAAGTATAAAAAACGTAGTCGGAATAATGATAAGAGGTGGTGATAGTAAAAAACAAGGGCCAGTGTAGATTGAAGGTTGTAGATAAATGCGAAGCATTTGGTACTTTATGTAAATATGAACTGGAAATGCCGAATGCAATGGTTCATTTTATTTATTTTGTTCTCTTATTCCTAGGAGTCAGCAGATCGGTTGAGGGGAGTTTTTACCGGTGAGAGAGGCTGACCATGCAAATGACCACATCTTCTTCCCTCTTGAATTTATGACGTTCCATTCTCGCCATTTTTATCTCAATATTTCATTTTTTGGTTTTACATTAAAAGGCTGGGCAGAGGCCATTGTGCGGGTGACAGGAAGGGAGCTTGGGAATGACCCTTATGTTACGGCCGACATGGGACGCGGTTTTTTTCATGCTAGTCCTACCGGAGGGAGATAAAAATATGTCGGCCCTGTCACCTCTCAGTATTATTGGATTAAATACTAGCCGAGGGCTCTAGGTAGTGTTGAATTTGTTTTTATAGAGCGTGATAAAACAGGGGGCGGTTGACAGATTAAATAGAAAGCTGACAGGCCCTTGTCAACTGGGACAAAGTAAGGAGGACCTACCATTGTCGATATAACACCGCCTCAATTTATTCTCTCCACTCCATTCCCGCCATAAAAATGATGATCCTGCGGCAGGTTTTAAAAAACAAACGCAGGCATTAAATCCAAAAAGCCCGAAAGTCCCGAGAGAAGGGGCAGCTTTTCCCAGTAAGTAGGATCTATGCTACAACATACTCCTGATTCGTATCATCATATGAACAGGACTAATAAAAAAATGAACCTATAAAGTTAAAATTTCAATGTGATTTATTCAGTGTGATATGCCGCAAAAATGTTGATTCAAAAAGTAATTCAACTGAGTGTCTCGTGAAAAGACGTCAACAATTCAGGAGGTCATCCTGTTCTCCTCCTAAAATGTCTTACTTTTTATATGCTATAAAAATTCCTATTTGAAGGCTTTAAATAAAGGTTGCATAAAACGAATCTGGATT